GAAAGACAAAAAGACTAAACTCCGTTGTTTTTCCGCTTGTGCGTTCCAAAGGTCGAAGAACGCAACGTGCAGCAATAGCCAGTGCTACAGAAATGAAGCAACGCTATCACGTCACGTCAAATAGTAGTTCTGGCTGAAAGTTAGCAAAGCTAAAATGAACAAATACTAGAGAGTGCGTTCGTGGCTTTAAAAGGGAAAGATCGCAGGGAGAGGAGGAAATGAAGAAATTAACATCACAACACAGCAGCAACAACAACAACAACGATCATTATTGTTGTTGTTGTCGTTAAAAATTTTTGTAGCCTCATGATGATAACTGGCAGATGAGGCAACGGTAACAAGGCAGCCATGAGGCAAAGTAACGGATTTTGGCCAGTGGAGGGTGAGCTGGCTAAATGCTTGCAGAGACTGCGACTTTTCATTGGGCAGTGTTTTCGATCCAGAGCCAAAGCAGTCACTGAACATGATGACTAAGTGACTGGTTAAGCGTCTCCGTGACATTTATCAGCTTGCCAGCCTGCAGCTGAGTTACGAAAACTGGAATATTCAGCGTAGACAATAAGTATTTTGCTTCGCTTATATACAAAGGTATATAAGTGCATGTCAAAGGCTACTGTTGCTGCTGTCCAGCTGAAAGCTTTCTAGGCCATTTAAGCAAACGGGCATGGCTATAAAGGAGAGTTCAGACAAACTTTTTAAAAGTTTGGTTGTTCAAGCTGTGAAACAGTTTTTTCTGGGTCATAGGAGTCCAGCTAGAAATTTCTGCATGAACTCATAATCTATTCGACACTATAGCTCTGTATATAAATGAAAATTTCAAAGTTCCATGGCTGGTACATGCTGATCTTAATGTTAAATTTATAACTGAAAGGACTATAGGTAACAGACTGTGTTGATGCTTCACTCTCTACTAACTTTAGCGGTTTCGAGATTATCTGTTGAGGAGATCTTTGACAGTGCCGAGGTTTTCACCAGAGAAGAGCTGTATCTCTATTGACGGTTGATACGGGATGACGGCGCATCACTCTAGAAAACAATTAAAATGATCGAGCAACTCAATCCCTCTTAGAAAGCGATTCCTTTGACTTGCGAGCAGGATTACGAATATCACAGGTTCTGCAATGCTCGAGGTCCAGCAGTAGGTCAACCAGGTAACTAATTTCGATTGTCCTGTATGGAGCACGGTTAATTTAGGGAGGCTTTGATAAAGGTTACACAATAAGTAAGGCCTCGTATTTGAAAAGGCGTAAAAAGGACATACCTTTTGAAATTTGTTGTGAAGTTTCTAAGCTCGGACACATATATATATATATATATATATATGTGTCCGAGCCGTAAGCATATATATATATATATATGCTTACGGCAGTTTTAAAACCGAAAAAAGTATAAGGCATACAATTCAGTATGTGATGTTCATGTCTTCACGGTTTACCCTATATAGGTAAGGGAGTTCACGTGTAAATACGTGGGAAGCTTATGTTGAATATGCATATCCATTCCGACCTTTTTTTAACAATATAGAAATAGCATCGGTCTGTGTAATAAAAATTGGTGGAATGTTTGCAGTGAGTACTCGATGAGCCGCAGCTCAATGTAAACTTTACCGATGTTTGACGCTTTCTTTTTATAGATTCTGTATCCCTTTCCACTTGAATACCGATTTGTTTAAATATGAAATAAAATGTTCACCAAAAGTTATTTTGAAAGCACCAGACTGGAGAGAACCCAACCCGGCAAAGTTGGTGCAATTTATTATTAAAATCTATCTTAGTTTTACGTTGCAGAAAGGACTTTGGATTTTTCACAGTGAGAAACTTCCATGGATGTAGGAATAGATGTGCTACAGAAGCTGCAAGGATTGTGAGGTCGAGTGAATTATTATTTCCTCTTATGCCTATCACTAATCGTGATATAAAAATTTACCCTTTCAGTAATAAAGATATAGTGCTGGAATAAATGAAGTAGATCTACGTTAATTACCAATTCGAATTTATTCAGAAAAAGTGAATACTTTTGAATTTAATAGATTGAACCATGTCGCCATCAACGGTTCGCTAGGAGAAAAATATCTACTCCTAAAAAAATGCATCTGTTTTACCTTTTTGTGCAGTTTTTCTATGAAAATCTTGGCCGCTCTTCCTTTGAATGCTGAAGTGCGCTAAGTAACAACGCTGCGTTCTTCGTTTATTTTTATATTGTGAAATACATCTCTGTAAATATTTTCCTGGCTTACCGGAAGAAAACGTTAGCTTATATAGTGATATCGCCTGTCTTTACTTTAATTTGAAGCAGCAGACATAATTCAGATGAACGATATTGCAGCACATGCCTGTATCAAACATTGTATCTGTGAGAGTAAACTTTCCATTGATAGAAATAAAAATGATTTCAGTATATCCATATAAGGAAAATGCAAATATTAATAAGTTTGTGTTTGAAGTAACTGCTTGAATCGTACGTTAAACACGGGTTATTCTCTAATCTAAGTTGAGAACGTAAAACAAACTAAATTTATGTAAAACATTATGAAACTTAAGTAAACTCTATTGTAACGCATCTCTTTTTGGCCTGTTAAATGTCGAGATTACCGGCGAGTGCAAAGATGCTGTTCGTCAGCCGAAAATTTAAGTTAAATTTAATTTTTTCGAACTGGCGCCTCGTTTGAATTTCCACTCTTAGTAAGTCGTACGGGCTATCCTTTATATTAGCAAGTGGATAAGCCGATAGGTTTTACCTGTCACGAAGATCCGTTTGGGAGATTTCGACTATGTTGTCGTAGGGGACTTGGTGCATCTACATGCATGTGCACTACTAGGTGTTACCACATCTAGGGGAACTATGCATAATATTCTTTAGGATTTCATTCTGCAATGCGGCTGTAGTGCGCTTGGAAATATGCTATGTAGTTAGTTCCTATAGCATGCCTTGTAGATCATCTGACAGCACAAAAAAATGTTTTAGTTAAAAAAAATTCGGTAGGTCTGTTTTGCAAACACACAAACTGAAAATTGCTAAATTGGGCAGCTTTTATTATTTTACTTTGGCCATATTGTCACCTTGAAGAAACGCCTACAATTATTTTCCAATGCAGCCCCATATCTTCGAAACGATTCCTTAAAGGGGGCCTATGGTTTTCCTCACGTACCGGAGAAGGTAAATAATAGTAACGTGTACGCCAATAATCGAGTCGCGTTTAGCTATTTGTTCTTCAGCATGATTTTTCACTACAGATGAATTCGTAGAGTGCAAAAGGGAGGAAGAGATCTAATTGACGAGACAGGACTTTATGACTGGAAAGGACGCGCTCAGTAATTAACCCTGATAGAAAGCTTTCTCTCATATAAATCTTCTAGTTGAGCCTTATTAAAAAATAACATTCAGTTGCTACTTTACGTGCTTGACGTACATGTTCGTATCCATCGATGTCATTCACATGACAGCCACATCCTGCCTAATCAGCGAGTCGCATCGATAAAAATTCATTGTGTGGGAAGGAAACGCTATCGTGAGGAGAAATGATGGGGAAAGGGAGGTCTTTTTTCAGCGGTTAGGTGTCTTCAGAAACATTTAGCCATCTAATCAGGATCCGTCGTCACCTTATGCTATCAGGCCTGTTTCTTATGCTTTTTTCCAATCCTGCATAAGGTTTACTTCTTACCTCAACTCCTCTTCCTATCGGAACTCGGTGACCGTCACCGTTCGACCTTTGTGGGAATGAACAGCTTTGTTAGCTATGAAATTTTAGGCGTACGTATCTACCTATTCCTTTTTCGTAGATAATCCGTACTGCATATATATATATATATATATATATTCAATACTGCTCCATCCTTTTTTGAATACGAGACGAGCTCAATTTAAATCCAAGTGCCGGACCAAAACTCGATTTATCAATTCATTCTATTAATTCATTCCACCACCACCGTTACCCCGTTGTAGTTGTCCTTGTAGATCTATTAGGGTTACCTTCTTCTATTAGGATACCTCAGAAAATTCACTGTACGGTACGAGTCATTCAGTTTTTCGGTATTAACAATACTTTAGAAACACCGTTAGTTTACTTTGAGAGTTAATCTATTCTTGATCTGAAATACCCTCTGATAATGGTCTCTACCAAAATTGTTTCCATTGCCGTTTAATTCATAACTTCGTTTGATTATTTTTACTAACTAAAGGTCGCTTCAAGAATTAAGCAGGTCGGCTGACTTTTGTCTGCTGAAGTAAACACTATGCCGCAGAAGATGATCGAATTTGGACATGTTTTTTTGTGCCTATTGTGCAACACTCGAACAACTTAATTTATTTATTTAAAATTTATTTATATTTATTTAAAATTGAAAGATTTTTGATTCAATATGCATTAAAGGTCATTTTGTCTTCGCTTTATATTTAGATTATGTAAAATCGTATTTCTTTTATTATTTAAACGTTAGTTGTAAATGTTAGTTTAACCGTAAAACCGAGGTTTATGGCACATATGTATATATATTTACTGACTTGAAAGGTATAGGATGGATAATCTTTTCTCCATAGTTTCATTATTTATATAAAGCTTTTCTTATTATGTTAAAACTGAGTTTTTTGGTCCATAAAGTTGGCCCTGCAAAATTTCTTGTGAAATATTTTGCGATCCAGCTCTATCTAATCCGCTACTATATGGGCCGAACAGGCAGAATCAGATTTGGCTGCCTCAAGCTTAGGGACATGCTTAGGTATCAGACGGTTAAAACAGTGATCTATTCTAAGGGTTTATTTTTTCTATTAAACCAATATAGAAATGAGGGGTTCTAATGGGAATACAAGTGCCTTGTTTGAGTGTGACCACATGCGTACTCGTCTTGACAAAAGGATCAAGAGAAAAGCCCATTTTTTATACATTGTTTTATTAAGCCAATACAAGATATATTTGGTCAAAACGAGACGAAACAGATATTATAGAAATGGTTTTTAACGTTTATATGATTGTATAACACTAACACCTATTACGCATTGTAAATTTTAATGATGACAATATTTTATAGGGTCTTGATTGTTGCGTTTTTATTATAATCTAATCTTAATAAACATTTTGTTATTATTTTATATAGTTGTTGTTGGATATTGGCCTCTCGGCTGGGACACATTCATATAGTAAAGCAATAAAGTAGTGAATTCTACTTGGCTCAATTGACCACATTGATTTAATAACAAGTACATTTCTAAAACATTTTAAATGTCGTCGATAAACGAAGGTAGCTTAACGCTGAACAAATGATATACAGCTCAGCCCAGGTACTAGCTGCAAGTGCCTTACAAGGCACAATAAGCGCCTCTCTCTACCTATCGCTATTAACACCGTCTTTTTAAAAAATCAACAACTCTAAAAAAAAATCGGAAAAGCCAACAGAAAACGTTTCAGTTTGCTTTTTTAATAGTCGCAGCATAGCAGATGCTCGATACTATTAAAATCGGTTAATCCAAGTGGCAGGGTAGCGGCATATAAGGATGATGACTCGTAAGGCCTCCAAAAATGATGATTTTGCACACAGGTGCTATATGGTACGCGTTTAAAGTCAAGCGTACACGAAGCCATTATCTTTACGTTACCGTGCGTATATATATATATATGTATATATAATCTTATCAGGATAACGTATAACCGATGTTAGTTGTGCTTAGCGTAACATTTGGCAACTTAGTTGGGGAAATGATTTTTCTTGCAATTATAGTTATCATAATTAACATCGTTAGAAACAGGGCGCACTTCGCTGCAGCGGATAGATAGCTGCTATTAAAAGCGGAATTTTCAAAATGCATGAATAACGATAGGCTTCATGACGACAAGGTGCATCTGTCCTTATTATATTGTTACACGTTCACACACATGGGTAATATTACAAGCCTAAAATCCTATAAATACGTAACTTATAGGTAAAAGGCCTCCCCTTATAATCGGCAGGGGAAAACACATTGAGTCACCCAGTGTGTTGACGTACGCTAATCAGAAGTAATTTTTCTTAGCCACTTCTCGTGTAGGCAAAACACAGCTGAGTACAAGAGCCGTCATCTAGAAGTCAGAGGCATTCTGTATCGATCGGCGCATCCGCTTATCAGCACAGAAAACTGGACGCTATTTTCTGGGACGCTAAAACTAGTTAACTATGATACTAGGCAATAGCTGCAGTTCCCTCACGTCATCATGATGAGAAAGCGCAAGTTTTACAATAGATTCTCGTTTGCAGCCTTCTTACATTGTTCCATTCCGGGACTATAGGCTGCGTGCGATAAGATTCGTCCAGCTAACATGGTTGAAGCTGTCTGAAGTTCCGCGATAAAATGTTTCTGCTATTATCGTATCCAAGGCTTAACTTCAAAGATCAAAGCACCGTTGGAATATCTCGTGATTATTCCAAACTATCTCTTCGCGTGCGGATGCGGAGGATTACCGGATTATTCCACTACACTATAAGATTTTATTATCGATTAATTATAGGTAGATTTCATATAGGTCCTCTGTCGTTGTGGGTTTTCCATTGTTTAATTGTCCACAGTGGTTATTAGCGGGCGACTACCACTGCGGTCGGTTTGCCGAGCCTCCCCAAACGCTATCGGCTTGAGAGGATAGCGCGGGAGCGCCCCCGATACCTCCTGACCCAATCTGACCTCTGGCCATAGCGCCTACGGACAGGTGGTAAGGGACAGAAAAAGCAATGTGTCGCGCGGATTGATCTGCCATACTGGGAGCGACTTGAGTCCTTGCCCAATATGACCGATCAAAGTCGTTTTATAATGTTCAAGGTAGATAATGAGATACCTGTATATAATCATGAAGCACACTCAGTACCGACCTGCAGATGCCTGTTGAGTTCGTCCTGTGTATCGAATATCAATACGATGAACGGGCTGCCTGGAACATGGATTCCAGACCATTTTACCTGCAATTGTTTAACGATTACTCATTAACGAAAAAAGTGTCATGTGCTTTACAAAATCATGTTCTAATAATTGCGCTAGTCGGCAATGTTGCATACAGGCCAACATACTCCACCTCGTGTAAATTAAGTACAAACCATAAAAACTTTGAAACCTGCTATTGAAGCTTTTCCAATATCTTCTGGTAGCAGTTTATAAAGACCTAATGACTTACAATATGATTGAACGTTGGCAGAATGTAAAGCCCAAATTTGTGATGTTTTGGACTTTGATACGATACGTTACCCGTAGTTTATACAAAGGAACCCATTCCAACTGACCTCGATGCGATAGTCTCCGGGCTCTGTCGGATCGTATTTGCACAGTATTGTCCTATCCTTGGTGCTCTCACGGGCCATTTCTACGCGGAATGCTCCTAATAGCGAAAACGGAATCAACTTTTTTTGTAATCTAAATTTTCATGCATGAAATGTCAAACGATCCAGATGGCAGCTAGTCACAAGCTTCAATCACTTGTAGAGTGATTTTGCCACTATTTTGAAAAGTACCGAAACAGAAAACCATTATAACCCGGCGAGACAAACTAAACAGATCGACCAACCTTTGGGCCCACGTACTCGCACCGTAAGCTGTCCGGCGCCAGCCCCGCGAGTGTCACAGACGAATCTGCTCTGATAAAGCGCCAGTACACCTGCTTCGATACCTGGGCCGTAAACCCGAACTCGAGACGCATCTGGTGCTCCTGCCACGCGAATCGTAAACGGAGAACCTTTGGGTGATCCCAAAACGATTAGAAAAAGCACATCCAATCAAGGTTATGAGAAAACAGATTTTGTTTTTAGAGCTATGAGATTTTGCAATTAAGCGTACTTCGTTCTCTTACTCGATAATTCTTTCCTCAAGCTGTGAGGCTAAATGTTCTTCCTATACTTATAACCTTTACTATAAATGGCAGATATGATTTCGCACCGAAATGCTTCCTTTACAAGCCTCATTTTCCGACATAAATATCCTCTATGCTTTGAGCTTTCATGAGGCATTTCATGAGATGAATAAATATATAAATATACTAACGAACCCTTTTCTACTCCTTTTTTCTGCGACAGATATCAACTCATTCGTCCCAACGTTAATTTCTCCATCTTGGGTTGCACTTAATGCAATGGACTAGCCGTTAGGTCTTTTGACCGGCGTCACGGCCTATGTTGTTTAGGCCTGAACGAGATTACCGGTTCTTTCGCTTGAGCATCTAGCACCGTGGCCTTAAAAAAGATAAGCTCCCGCCGTCGATATCACTACATGCTACATTTGTTAGCTTTTATTAGAGAGGCAGGAGGTGGGCTTCCTATCGGTAATACAAATGACTCTTGACTCCCAAAACACGTTTAAAATACGGTAGTCAAGTATCAGTAACCCAAAGCTTTTTTGGGCCGGCCACGCTCGAGCGATTTGTGCTGCGACCAAAAGGTGAACCGATCCCTAGTGAAACTGCGAAATACTGGGCTTGTTGCTTCGACATGTGTCGTTTTGGCAACCATCTCGCCCCCTTATGATATACCGCCTGATAGCGGAGTGTTTCCAACATCTCAATGCGCAGGTTACACTACTAACGATTCATTGGGAATTCATTATTCATTGTTTGCAAGGGTGTTTTGATTAGTACAGGCCACGAGGGCAAATGAGGAAGAAAGATAAAGAAAAGGTCTATATATATATATATATATATATGTTATAAGCGAGTCCGGTGGACTTTTTTTTAACTTACTTTTTAACTCATTAAGTTAGAATGATGATAATAATATATGTTATTCATACTCTGTTTTATTTCTTTTGTTCCTGTCCTAATGCTCTGGCAACCTTTGAACAGTTACATACCGACCTTCCACAGTCTCATTGGTAATTTCTCCACATATAACTTCTCGATCGATGATAATAGTCTTTTGAGAAACTCGAGATAGCAGGTAGCATTCACTGTTTTACTTTAGACATAGTAGTTGATGCGCCTGATATCTACTGCAAATGTTATTATCGACACTGCCAGGGCAACGCCATTCTGTCGTCTAGACCCTCTCCGGCTGGCGGTAGGAATTACACAATGCCCCAGTTATGCCGACCGTTGGCGATGAAAGTTCCGCGAATTGCACGTGAAATATACCACACGCATTTCCAATTGGCCTCGAGTCAACCCATAAGAAATCCATTTGGTCAATTTTCGCATTCTCAGTATTTGTGTTATAGTTCTGTAACGTTAATTGCAAAAAGCCAGTTTTAGCCTTTAGACCCCAATTTCTGCTTGGATGAAAAGCCTCCTCATTTGCGGCATTGTGTTTTTGTCATTCAGGTTTTTGCGTCTGGTCACCTTTTCGTTGATCCTCAACACTTCAAACACCGCTCATTAACATCAATCTTCGATGAATGTTTGCACCATAGGGGCAAAAATTTGACCACTAAACGTTGATTTTCGTGACGAAATGTTCTTCCTTATTAATTTAGTTTAAGAACTCAACCGATTTTCGCTCACAAGTTTGTTGAAATGTATTTATTAGCAGAATTTTCATCTGGTAGTGGCGTATGGTTCAAAGGCTGTTAAATCTCAAAGTCTCTCGGGCTCTTTGTAACAATCTAATATATAGTGGAATATGCATGATTAATGATATCCATTAAAAGCCTCTTTACGGTGACCGCAATCTTCCGTCATCATGCTTATTTGCCCTCGTGAGATTATGGCGACAAAAGGTCTAAACAAAGGACTAACTGATCCTCAGTCACCCACCCACGCATCCTACACTTATTTCTTCCGACATTATTGCGTGATAAAGGCGTTTTTTCTCATTTAGGAGACGTCTCTCCCTTTTTTGTCAGGCTTCTAAATTTGTTTCTAGTAAGCTCATAGATTCATGCATCAACTTCTAGTGGGCTTCACGCTACTCGTTCGTCTTCGTGTTCCTCCGTGCTCACCCACACTGAGAAGACTGCACGTCAATAGATTTGTGACTCACATCTTCACCGTTCAGGTCCCTTCTTATTGTAGAAAAAGATTTCCGAAAATAAATGTTTACCGCGGATGTTCAGATTTGAACACGGGCCTGGTACAAAACTTATCGGATAGCAATCTCGGTACCGTCTCAGCGATCACTGGGACAATTCATAAAGGATTCCAATGAACTTGAATGTTTTCTGCCGTGAAGCAATGTTTCCATTACGCAGGTCTATGAGGCACTGAACATGTCAGATTGTTAGATCATATGTGTTCTCGCCTCAGATTCTTTCTTTGCTTCTATTACGCTAACTAGCTAGAGTTGATTGTTTCGCTTCCATTTGATACTTACCTGGAACATGCTGCCCACCATATTTAATGCTTAACATGTGCTTCCCACTTTCGAGGGGCGTTACGAGCAATTCAAATGTCCCGTCGCCATGAGAAATGAGCTCGCATCGTGCCATCTTTGAGGGACCCAAACAATGAGCGCTCAGTTCGCCCGGTCCACCAGCACGCGTGTCCAAGAAAGCCTTCATTGGCTTGCCTTTAAGGGAAAATGGTTATAACAAGTCTAAAGCAACGTTCACTCTGAGGACGTTAAACAATATTCATTTTATACACATATGATCTATCATATCCGAGCATGGCATTTAAATTTTCCTCCAAATCGAATGGATTTCGGTGCGATTTATTAGCGAGTTTTGCCACTCACCAACAATGCCCCCAGTTAGTCCTTCTCCTGAGCATACTACTCGTTGGGCGTCACAAACAGGACCAGCACGCACTCTGAACGGACTTCCAGGTACATGTTTTTCGTCAAAAAGAACGGTGAGTTCGTAAGCTCCTGGATGTGGCGCTCGATACTGGCATCGGAAAGTATTCGTTGGGCTACCTGTATGCACCACCTAAAAAAATTGGCAATAACAGAATGATTGTCAGTGGTCCTAGATAATTGAGCATCGAGTAACAAGAGTGCACATTATCCGTTGAAGAACATGCGTATCCAATACACTTTTAAAGATTCTAGCGTCTAGAAATTAGGCGTTCTTCCATATTGATTACATCTCGATACAATGATGTTACATACTGATAGCAATTAGAACATGATAACCATTAGCGATTTTATATGCGAGACGTAATACGCTCACCTCGACAGGATATTCCCCTTTATCTGATATAAGCATGGCTCTTAGCTGTCCCTCGCTGCAAGCTGATGCATCCACAAAAAACTCAGCCATTTCACCGACCCGAGATACTAACAGACCGTCGCCTCTGGCTACAACTCGCCCCAATGGCATACCCCCATTGCTTGATGCAGGCTTGTTAGCTGTCGAGTTTGAAGCATAAGGTGAGGAGGTCTTCGATGACGACGCTTTGATTGCAGAAGTTGAGGTTTTAGTGGTAGTTAAGGATTTGATTGCCGCTAGCCCGGGCGTTTGAGACTTAGATACGTTTGCAGGTGCAATATTGTCGGCAGCTCCACGGGACGACTTCCGATGCACATGGATACAAAGTGGTGATTGCGCAAGTGGGTGAGCATTGTGCGCCAGATGTAAGCGATGCTCTCCAGACACCTAAATAGTTACAATCGTAATATAGTCAAGAACGATACACTTTGTTACAACTGCGGTAACAATTTACCCCAAATTAAATAGCCTAGAAACTAATGACGGGTTGGACTATCTCCTGATTTGAGCAAGAGGAGGCACGAAAGCCTTAATACAGCTGAATGAAATTAGTGTCGCGCTACCTTTGGAAGGTATTTCAAGATCCATCGGGAACCCATTTTCTCGATCTGTACAGGAGCTCTTCGACCATCTGGAAGTTCGGCTTCAGCATTAAGCTTCCCTGGTGCAGGAATGGGGTCAGAATCTGAGGCAGGTACTTCAAAGGCCATAGTCAGCTCTTTACCAATCACGCCTGACAACGTCCCTTCAGAATCAACCACTGATTCCCAACCGCCAACAGGTCTTAGCTGTGAAAAGCACACAGGCCAATCAATAACCGCCTTTGCGCGATTCATATGACGTCGTAATACAGTGAGAGATATGAGTTCTTACCGATGTAGGATAGTATAACTCTATATTCAGCACTCCAATACGATATGGCAACTCGAACGAAATCCTGATTCTGCTAACCTGCTGTCCCTCTCCGACACGAACCCTATACGGTGACCCAGCAACATCTGCCCCGTTCATCAACAGACGAATTGTGTATAGCCCCACTTCAATGGGGAGGTACGATACGCTCCAGGAGCCGTCGTCCTCTTGGTCCACCGTATACTCTGCTTCCTGACCTCCTGGACCTCTTACGCTTACCTCGGGACTTCCTGCAGAAAGCCCTTCTTTCGCATCGCATTCAACCCTGAACGAGGTCATGATACCTTTAAGAGCCTCGACCAAGCCCGGACCAGATACGTTTATGTGTTGATGAAGCGCGGGCGATGAATCCGGATGGGCTATGAAGGTAATTGGTGATCCAGGAACTGGAACACCCCCGTAGGTTATAGCGATGCGATACTTCCCTGAAAACGAAATACCTACTTAAATATCGTTGTTGTTGTTGCTTTTCGTTGAATCAAACTATTCAATGGCGAATTACGCATGCGATACAGTTCTCAGGATTATCTACACGAAAATTATCCTTTCAACAACAGAGATTTAATAACAGTTGCAACTATTACGACTGAGCCTCGATCCATGCTAGCAGCGAACTCTGCCAAACATACATACTTCAGTAACTGATGCTCTATTTAGTGCTTTGGCAGAAAAGTGCCTACTAGCGTCATATGCATACCTGCAACCGCTGGAGTGAGCTCAATGAGTTCACCATCATCCGCTGGGCGGACTTCGATCGGAAGATTTTTGCCCAAAGGACTCGTCGCTGTAACGTCCAGTTCAGCGTATCCCGCGTCACGTCGATTAACTGCGAGGTTAATTAATAGATGCGTTTATAGAAAGCTACTATAATATAAATACTTTCTGGCTTTTGCGCGTTAGAATACTGTATAATATTATTCGATGTACACTTGGTTCTTTACGGCGTGTATATATATTCCTAGGAATCTGGTGGCTTGGGATATATTTCTAGATTGATCTGCACAGCGTTACTGGCATATGAAGATTTCTTGCAGCGCTTGAAGAGACTTACGCTTGAATCGCACACGCTGATTAACATTGCAAACGTTATTTCTTTTAGGAACATCCACAGTATCGTGCTCGAGCCGGACTCTCGTGGCATCGAAAGCTTCACATTTAAACGGTGAGCCTTGAACAGAATCACTGCGGTAGAATACCTCAATCCGATGAGGTCCTATCTCGACAGGGGACCTACAGTGTTTATAAATCACAAACGTTAACGTCAAACTAAAGAAGATGCTTGCTGAAAAATCGAGTATCGCATCTTCTCCGCTATATTATACTACTGGCTTTACGTTATTAAATAGTCGTAAATAGCGTAATTGCTGTGAGTAGTTTCGATTACAAAATATCTACCTTCTCTTTTTCCGGTTCTGTTAACATTTTGTTTATAATTGGAATGAAAAACGAAATAGTGCGCACCATTCGACAAGAAGACTTCTATCTTTCTGTACAAAGCATCTGACAGGCAGCGGTGAGCCAGCGCAAGAGACAACGATGTCAAAATCTTTTGCATCTCCTTGGCTGCCAGTCTCAATGTTGAAGCGCGCAGCTCGGCCCACTTGAGCGCTTTTCAATCCTAGTCCATGCGCAATCATCGTGTGGGAAGGATCACGAACCTTCATAAACGAGCGATTCGTAAAGTTATGGGTGAAAAATTCGTAAATAGAAATGCTCACCAAGATATCGAATTGATAAAATACCAGGTTTACGCGGAGTGCAGTCGAGATATATGTGGTAAAATATGTTCAATGACAAACCTGAATAACACGCGGAAATCCTAAGACGGCATGTCCATTATACCGGATTTCGATCTTGTGCGGACTTGCGCTCTTAGGAACATACGTCACCTTATATAAGCCAACGGCAATTTCGTCTACTTGCAAGGGAACCTTGGCGCCGCCATTCGATACGGCCACCTCTAAGGTACCCTGGCCAGCCTTAGTTGTATCAACTGCGACGACAGCAGAAAATTACCATAAAATTACATCTACCTCTATGGAAATTACAAAATGAAAAAAAGATCCAACCATTTCAACCACTTCATCGAGAATTTTGGCCCAAACGTCTTGAAATCTACAGTCACAGCATGTACAACTATTCATAACTGTTACATCGTTTAAGTACTTTTCTGCCAACTATCAAAAAAACGTGGTAACATTTGTACACGTTTCGGATCACGTACCACGAAACGCGACTGGACGATTCACAATAGCGTCCTCGATGTCCATGGCCCGTACACGACCGGGGTCAATCACCTGCACGTTATGAGTGGTTGCCACACGTCCCCCGAGAAGCACCTCAAGAAGGTGACTGCCAACCTCTCGAGGTAGATATTCCGCTCTAAGGACATGTCGAAAATAAGGCAATATTCAATTAAACAATATGCCAAAAAAATGTTAGCTGATGTCATTAATATAGACATTTGATTTTAAGGACTTGCTGATTCGTACGTTCAAGCACCGCTGCATGTACCTGTAAACGCGCTCAGCAATCTTCGTGACTACGCATTGAGCTTCGGTAGATCCTTTGCTCACTCTGATGCTTACAGCTTGATCCGCATCCACAATATCGAAAATGTTTTTGGCACTACACAAACCTCGTTGAGCTGCTGAGCCTTTCAGTGTTGGCTTGCCAATTCTTTGCGAGGCAAGCGCCTTTTCGTCGAGAACCTGAAAAGATGTAGGGGGTGATACTCGTCTGAAGCACACATATGTATATGACATACTTCCATTGTTTGATGAAGGCGTATAGCGAGCGTTTAATTAGAAGCTTAGATACCAGATCTAAGAAGAGGAACATGACTTGCTTTAGCAAAAAAAATTACAGCTGTAATTATCACAATATGTTAGCCAATCAGCCCCATAGTTCAAGCTTATATTATATATATATATATATATATATATATTATATGTGATATATTATATATATATAATATATCACATATTATATAGTCGTAATAGATTGCAGCTGCTGTTATCTTAATATGAAGCTATTGGTTGAAAAAGGCGAAACGCCGCCCGTGCTAAAATACTAAACTACTATAAAAAACCTCTATTTCACCTCTATGCGGAAAGGATTCCCAGGGATCTCGAGGTCGTTGAATGTAACGTTCACGTAATGTTCGGCAGCATCGGACGGGGTAAACGTGACATCATATACTCCACGAGCCTGCATCGAAACCTCCGCTCGCACTGAACCTCGCTTTGTACTTACCACCTGAATTTAATGAAAGTACACAAACTCTCTTCGAAATGAAATACGCCTTTTTCAGCGTCTTGGATATATAGTATAGTATACAGTTTTTAGAAAATAGTTTGTTGCGATACTATTTTATTCTGTTTTTACGACGCAATCTTTGACCCATGATAGAAAGATCTCCGTTTTACCTCTATTGAGCCGCCCTATATTAATCAGCTTTATTAACTTTACCTAAAACTTTGTTCACGTTAAAATGCATTCAGAACATTGCTGAACTTAAAAGAACGATGGGCGGGGATGTGTCAGTTATGATTCCACTACAAAGCTTCCGAGCTTTTAATTATTCAAATTGTATCTAAACTACATGATAATCTAGATAAGGTGACCTGATAATTCAACGATAAATCATACCAGTTCTAAGGTTCCTTCGCCGGCCTGTGAAGCGTCTACGCTAAAGGTGAGCGCCCTGCCTACATAGCCTCGGTGAAGTCCCGTTACTCGTATGCGTTGCACGTCGAAGACGTTGCACGTGAAAGGGCTGCCGGACACCTATATGGTCGACATAGTGTTTTGAGCGTAAGATGGCTTTTTTCAAAATATTTAGTCAGCCATTTGCTTGGAACATAGATTCCCTATGTGACTAACGATGTCAAGGTGAGTGATGTATCTATAATTTGGGCTAAGTGATTACGCAAAACCGAGTCACGAACTCGATCACGACAGGTGTTCTTGTATTCCACCTTCTATGAGGATTCCTACTGCAAATCATACAGAGATAGGCATATTTTTTCAAAATTTCATACTGATAGTAGCATTTATTAAATGCGAGCGTGTCATATACCTGTGACCCATCAATATACACAAAGACCTGATTAGGTCCTATTCGTCTAGGCGTGAAGGTTGCATCGAACCCGGATGCAGTGTTGGCAATGTTCGCTGACGTGTCGGTGCCATCGGGTGCTACTGGCAAAAAATACACATTAAAGTCAGAATTGACACAAATCTATCTGTTGAGCCGTCCCAAATGACATATTTAAAACATTAGTTTTTCACCGTTATGACTATTGTTGAGTAGTCTATTTGATATCTGTTCTATGAGGTGTTGTAGGATGTACCTTGAAGTCGCACGTTGCAATTTTTGGGGGAGAAACTTTTTGTGTGTACAGCAAAGGTTACTGGTGTATTAATGGCGACAGACTTCAACGCCTCGCTGTTGACCAGGCTTTTAGGGCTCGTCGACATTTGCTTTGTGTCCACCGCGTCCTTGTCCAACTCAACTATATCTTTAAAATCTTCAGAAACGTTGATAGGTTCGCGCTCGCCAGAGGTCACAGCATTTTGCGATCCGTGTGCTTTATCGCAGCTTTCCTTTGGATCCGCATCGGTCACGTGTATGGTAAATGGACTTCCAGGCACAGGAATCGAGTTAAATTTGATGCTAATTTGATGAACCTGCGACTCACTGTTGGACCAAAACGCAGTTCTTATCAGTTAGTAACAAATGGATAATCTGTCTGATAACAGTGTGCTCATTTCTTATTAATCTTCGCTGAATCACGGAAGAGCATCGGGTGATTACATTAGCTATTTGAATTCTAGACACTTAAATCGCACACGGGATGATCTGTGCAAAGTGTACTCACGTTGGTTTAAAGTTTACCCTAAATCGAGCGTTTCCCTCGCTTTGTACGTAGTTAGGAACGTTTCGGCCCCCTGCGTTAGCAACAATAATTTCCAGGTTGCCAGCACCAGCAGCTGAAGCATCAATGCTGAAGTAGACTGGTGAGCCGCATAACCCGTCGGAAATATCCGTTACCTGATTCATGTTGGCACTCTCCATTAGCAGTTGACTTAAAGATTGTTCAGTTGCTTCATCATTTACGAAGAGAGCATCTGATTTGCTATCTATCTCCTGTCTGGCCGTAATCGTACCTTTACTTTGCTGGCGTCGTAGACTTTTACTCCGAGTGGAACGGTCAGCAAAGGGCCGGAATTCAACCGCAGATCGACCGAGTAGTCTCCAACCTGATCAGGGGTAAATTCCACAGCGTACGAATCGCCTTCCACGGACTGGTGCAGGGGTACCTGATTTAGAAGGTATAATGAATGCGTCACACTGAACCTCGCCGTAACTGTTCGTCCTTAGAGATAGTCGAAGTGGGTAGACGTAGTTGGATAGAAAATTCACCAATAGCAACAACAAGAACTTTCTCATACTTTATCGTTATTGGGTCCAACGACGACCGCTTGAAGATTGATGAGGCTTTGTCCACCTGCTGACAGCAACATTCTGCAAGGTCGATGTACGGGCACTCGTTCGATAGGGTCTCCAACCAACTTCAACTTGGATAGGTCAAGAACGGGACAAGTGAATGGGCTTCCGGGCACATGGTGACCATTGAAGCGCACATCGATGACATGATCCTCGGCTTCTGTAGGTGTAAAATGGATCGAGTATAAAGTAGGTGCTTTTGCCTGAGGTGTTGTGGGCACTCTTCCCTGATTAACCATCACCTCCAGATTTCCCGGACCTGCGCCAGCCGTCTCGACGAGGAAGGCTGCCGAAGTACCCACAAGCGCGGGATGCGGGACTTCCGTCACTCGGATTTGGCCAATGTCGTACACCTACAATGAAATGATTTCAAGTTCAAAAAGATCTCCGATAAGCCTAATGCAAACAGTTGGATGCATAGCGTGAATATGATACCTACACACGTGTACTCTAAGGAGAACGCACTAGTAGTCGGAGAAATGCCATTTATTCGCTCTATAGCTTGTCCTTGTATACTAACACCGACTAAAATATCTACGACCTAACCTAATTACGCGGTACGTGTCGTCCCGCAGCTACGCTACACACGTATATGTCCCAGTATACAATGTAGAACAATCCACGCTCGCAGCTAGCTTTTTTTTCAAGAAATGTCAACCCTTTAAGCCTACGATGACACCAGCTTGAGAGCCGACCCAGATTTGCTGTTGCAAGGTTGTAGATAAACCTACACAATATTTTCGTACTTTGTCAGAACACCGCGGTTTTTCTAGGTTAATTTTTTTTGTTTTCTGACACTACCTCCGTTGAGCTTTGGGCGTATAAGTATTCAGTAACCAATAGTCTCATTAACTGCCAGTATGTTGAACCGCAGTGGGTGTCCGAACACATGGTTAGCCCTGAGCTTCAACCCTCTGCGACCTACACACTAAACCGCTACCTTCCTGACCTCATCGCGCAGGCTGAGATCGACATGGAAATATTAGAAGCTGGTGCATAGCTTTCTAATGCCTGCACTTCCATTCGTCTTTCTGGAGAAACAGAGCATGATTGCGGATTTAACCTGAGTTCGCGCAGTTTTTAACAGAGCGGTATTCAACTCAACACAGGAGCGCGTCGACGTATCCTATACACCTATCTAAAAACATCTTCTGCGTTATATTTAAAGGTGATCTCGTGCAGGCGAGAGTTTGCTTGTCCGATTTTTTGATATCAACGAGCTGGAAACCTACCATCAGCAGCCATATTCGATATTTTGTAGCGTGCCACGCAGATGCACCGAACTGGCTACTTTTTGCGCTGAGGCCTTTCCTTTGGAAGCAAGTTTGCACACTTCAACGAGCACTGAACTTAAACCTATTACGCAAGCTGGCCAATTCTGGCGACGATTCGGCTTTAGCTCTCCTAAGATGCATCCAGGAGTCGCGTGCATGCTTCGCAGGGGCCGTGAAGTCAAGCGGCGACGCCACGATAAGGAAGTCCATGAACTCGTCACACAGGCTGGTTACCCGATGTGTTTTAGGAGCTTAAATGGCCACCCAACGCGCTTCAACACAGAGTTTTCCCTGGGTGATTGCGTCGGGGTTCTTATTTTCTCTTCGGACTCGCGCATGATATTCTTCACTGTACAAATTCTAATGACGATATACTCATTAACGTTTTGCGGCGAATGCAAAGCGCTAAAACCTGTATAAGTGCGATCTTTCTCAACACCTAGTCCTTATATAATAATAGCGAATAAAATGCTTACAACTTGAAATATTAGTGGTACGTTTCGTAATGGTACAGAAAGCTGTAGGTACCTTGCAGACGAAAGGGCTGCCGGGAATAGGCTTATCTTGATAGCGTACTTCCATACGGTATTCACCGACGGCTGCTGGAGTGAATTCTACTGCGAAGGTATCTCCGCCACGATCTTTCAGAGTAAAAGGTACCACACTTCGTTCGGGGTTGGTTACACGCGCGTACAGGTGCTGGCTATGAACTGTCCCCTGGATAACAAAATGGACACAGACAGTACACATTAATAATATGATTAAATAATATATTATATTTACTATGTTTATTATTGGCACTAATTGTTATTTGTTGTGTGTTGTTTCATGCATTATAAAACATACGTTAGCTGAGAAACGCCAATAGTCAGATTATTTACACAAGGAAACAGAACGTAACAATTCCAACCTTGAGCAAAAGTGCGGTTGGTGTATTAACCGGTGCACAGACGGGTCCTGGTTGCGCTGGATGAACTGCAGGTTGTTGTGCGGCATCATTGACCGTTACTGGAAAGGGACTTCCTGGAACGGCTCGTCCGTTAAAATCTATTGATACCGAATGAAGAGCATCACTTTGCGGAACGAAGCAAACGGCGAATCGAGCGCCTCCTAGCGGCTGCACTTGGGTTGATACATTCTGGCTTCCCGAAGAAACTGTGATTTCAAGGTTGCCTTCACCAGATGAACTGGCATCCACTAAAATGGAAATTTGATTACAGTTATTTCTAAAGTACTATGCTATATTACTACATGTGATATATTTAGTTAAGAGAGCGCATATATAAATACATCTGAAGTGAATCATTCGTTATAGAAATTGGACTAAGCGAATTTTCATTGTATAAAATTAGAATGCAGCGATACGTTTCGTATATCCATCAAAATAGTAATTGAACCACAAACGTACCAATGAACTGGACTGTTTCCCCCTTGTTAACACTTTGTACGCCTTCCACTGCGACAAGTCTCGGATCGAAACATTTTACACTACACGGTGATCCCTGCACCGAAGATCCTGAGTAGTCGACCGAAATTACATGTATACCAACCTAAAATCATGGGGCAACGTCATTTACATAATCCGCATCACTTCTACAAATATTTCTCTGTCTTCGGAAGGGTCCAACTAGGCGGAACGTCGTACGATTTTCGTATTTTGAACAAGAATCATATTGCTAAATTTCCTTGGATGAGTGTCCGCGTGCAAATAGCGCAAGCCACTTATAAACAAACAAAACGCCATTAATCTTCAAGTTACACTTCTCCTGTAGGAACATCCAACAAAGGCGCTAACGTTCTATTAAATAAGGCCTATACCTTTAAGTTATGCGAAAAGGATGTTTTCCGAGGCTAATATACGATGAATCGACTCCTCAGACGAAACTTAACTAGGAGAAACAAAAAAACACCACCTTATAATATCTGAATATATCCTCACCTGTTTGGCCGTGAACTCGACAATGACTGTGTCCCCTTCTGACGACTTCAGACTCACGGGAATACTCTGGTGGTTAGGATCTAGAGCAGTACAACAGACAAAACAGCCGTACAAAAATTACTAATGAACCACATATGGTTAACGTTACTGCACTTATGCTAACGAGTCACATAATCAATATCATTCAATTTTTTTTTTCGTTTTGATTAATAATAGAAACTTATTAACGTAATAATATTAGATAAATTTATTTTGTTTTTCGTCTCTCGCGACAAATTGTTTAGATTCATTGTAAACCTACAAGGCAGGTCCAACATACTCCCTCAGCTAATGAGGCTAATGAGGCTGTCTTTTCGAATATATATATATAAGAGTAGATGTGGGTGCCTGTCGAAGGTCCGATAAGGTAACTTCATGCTTATCTAGAACATCATACTTCGTCTCAGATTATATGAAAGGCAGCCGAACGTATAAAATGACGTGTTATTTTATAAAATTCTTATACATATATACTTTTTCTTCTTCTTATTCTTAATTCTTATATATATATATATATATATATATAAATTCATTCTATGAAAAAAGCCTTAGCAGTAAATACCACTAACAGTGAACGTTTGAATGCCTTTTGGACAGGAGTAAACTCGTTTATTTTCAAAAGTAACGCAATGTTAAGTAGTTTTTAACCCCGCAATCAAATTTATGACGCTTAGATATTAAAATTGGGAACTTTTTCTCATCATAGATACTAAGAGTGGTACACTTTAAATTAGGTGACCTCTAAGTACTTATTTTCACGTTTTCACCACAGATATCAGTATTCATATCTCTCTACTCGCAGATTGTCAATGCCCAGAATCCCAGAAGGGGGACTCACCGATAATTCCGACGCGCAACAGTTCCCGTTTTCCTAAAGGCAGGGGGATATTAAAACAGGCAGGTTCATCAGCACAAATCACCTCTACGGATTTCAGATCAACTGAATACACTATAGGAGCGTGAGCAACAATGGTGAGCGGGCATCCAGGAATTAATTCACCATTGAACCTGTATAACGACAACAATGGGTCAGCGCTATGATCACACAGAGTTCATTCATGTGACGTATTGGCGTCATACTCTAACTGTAACCAGCAAACTTTGACCTTTATAAATTATTCCTTCAACGACCGCTATTTTTTGATCTGCATATCGAAGTGAAAAAGAACTATATCAAATCCTATGACGAGAATTGTTTTCGCTTAATCTACTGTGCTTACTTAATGTCGACTACGTAGTCACCAGGGCCGTCAGGCGTAAATGTTACGCGACATTTTCCCGCCGACAGAACTTCGACCTGGTTAGCAACTTCTCCACGATTCACGCTAATTTCTAACTGTCCCTCACCGGCATTACTTGCGTCAACTGCAATATGAAATATATTTGATGATTTTAGCTATGATAATAAAACTCCCCCAGGACGAGACGATGATAACATGTATGGGTATTTTAATAGCGTCTTACCATGTAAAGTAACACTTTCATTGATTTCGACGTTTTTTTCAACCTCCAGGAAGTGAATGCGTTGGGCGTCGTAGGCTTTGAACAATAATGGACAGCCTTGGACGCGGGCGCCGCGCAGATGAGCATCAAGAGAATAGGTTCCTGTATCCGTCAACGCAAATTCAAGTAAAAGTACCGTTGGTGATTTTCGGACCACCGAGTATGGATTGGCTACCGCGTTGGGTACTGTAAAAGCAACAAAAAAAGTACGACATCATGGAGTATGCAACAGAATAAGGCGTAACTATGGCACTGCAAGTCAAAGCAACATGTTGTTACGCGTTAAGCGAATACGATCTTTCAGAACATTGCTCCAATGATTACCGTTCACTTAACGAGGTTGTTTCAACATAAAGTTATCAGATTCAGGTAAAACTACTCCGTCGCCCGATAAAAAATTCACGTAAAGTTATACAGATAGTAATATGTAATTCGTTTTTAACATTGTTATTCAGGCACGAATCAGGTATGACAAGGCTGAGAAATACTGACTCGACTTGAGCAAGGTGACCTTGAGGTCCGTGTCCTTGCTGTTTGGTGGCACCTGCACTTGTAGGACTTGTCGTTTGTGGCATGGAACACTGTCGGGCATACTCTGCCCATCGATGAGCAACGCTTGAACCCGCTCCTCGCGCTGTTGACGTTCAGCCCGATCGAGGAGACGGGCCCCTTGTTGATAGAACAGCTGCTCTGTCTTTTCTGCCTCACGAGCGGCCTAGGTATAGATAAAAAGAAAAGGTGCCTCAATGCTAGATTTTTAATTGGAAGTAGGATGCTATAATGACATAACAAGATAACGTTAAATTAAGTTAAACACGAAAGGTGATTTGTTCACGACTACAAAACTGTAACTCTTTATTGCGCTCAGCCAAGCTATATATCGCAGATAGAGATTTCACAAGCACAAATATACTAAAAGCAAAATTAAATGGCGGGCTAAACCTTTTCCAGGAGTATCCGTTCCTGCTGCAGAAATTCAGCTACATTGCAGTTCCACGGCGAACCCGGTACGGGGATACCATTAAATTTAATGTCCACCTAAAATCATACGTTGATTTAGGATTACGGCCAGCTGTTCTTAGCCCGTTTGCCGTAATTATGGAATAAACAAATAGTTTTTTTCCAAAATGATTATTCCTTTAAGTGAATCTTGAGCAAATTTACAGTGTGTCCGTGACTCAACGAATCCAGTGGTGTACATATGATATTTTAATCCGTATTTCTAGTATCGATGTAAATTTTCTGTAATCCCAGAACTCGTTATAGTTGTGAAATGTTATTATGCTTAAACACTCAAATATAAACGATACTACCTCGTGGGGTGTCGCCTGATGAGGAACGAATGATGCCTCGTAGAACTGATCTCGAATTCGTTCTACCTTCGAACCAACGGTGCCATTATTTACCATTAATTCAAGCGAGCCGCTGCCTGCGCCATTTCCGTTGACTGGAAGCGCCGATATAACAAGTAAACAATACTATATGTACCCTATTATCCTAGTATGTATTATCCTAGTAGGCAATGCAGTGTTCAGATTGAACAAAGGTATACAGAATGTTAACATTTGACGTAAACTTTGGTAGTAGTAGTAGTAGATAATTTTTTTTTGTTAGAGGAAAGAAATCAGGTACGCGTAGTCCATTGCTTTGCTACGGAGGCACTCACTGCGGAATCGAACTGGTCGTCCCACAATGCCGTCGGGAATCTTATCGACAACTATAAGTTCTGGACTGAATCCATGTCCCTGAATTGGAGGCATTTCAACACCTCCGTATGCGAAACGTATTCGATGATCTCCTACTTCCCGGGCCTCGATTAGAACTTGGGCGATTTTCGGGATTAGTTGATCAACCCGGCACGCATACTCTACCCCCGATGGGCCCCGCACGAACACCTATTGTCAGATTATAATGCGTCTCGTTATGAATTTCAACAATAGAAGTATAACTGCCACTCGTGTCTAAGGCCCTCGCGATCTTCTGTACCACCATGTACCGAGAATGAAAATTTCCCAATTTCGTTTTTATTGTACTTCGTTATGTTTACGTATTACAGCTAACGGGATGTTTGCTAGGCGAAACGGTTTGTCCTATTTCTTCAGAGCTTAACAATAAATATAATACTAACCTGGAGAAGGTCCGCATCAAAGGGAACGCTTTCTGAAGCGACGTCCACAAGCAGTGGTTGTCTGATAGGGAAACGCCTAAGTCTTTCAGGCTGTAAAATTTTTAGCTCTGACGTTACTCGTTCAGGGCTAATTAACAACTGGCTTCCTGTTAAGGAAACGTAACTGGTAGAAGAGATGTTAGCGGACGGAATCTTCGTGTGGCTATCGGATGCCGCATTTGGAGGCGTTTGATAACTAGTTGTCCTGAAATAGATTTCGTATTTGTGCGACTTGACATATGCTGGGTGATGCATTTAAATAGGGATGTTTACTTTAAGAGTTATACGTTTATCCTGTACTCTTTGTAATACCAGAACATAATAACCAGAACATAATACATAGTGCGTCGTCCTTGCAGTTATCGAAGCGAATATCAGTTATTATTATGTAATCTCTACATGCGAGAAAAACGTCCGCTAACATTTTTCATGCGAAATCGACAGACATATAAAGGCTTAAAAGGTCGTACTTGATATACCTGGCAATTTTCTACAGAAATTTAAGGCTCTTTTAGGGAGGGAGACTAGCAGCTGGCTCATCTAGCTAAATCTCAACGGTTAGTCTTTTGGGGGCCTTCTGTGCTTTTTCGCTTTTGTATAATTAAAACTGTTGCCCTGTTATTAGACCAAAATTTCGAAGTACGTAGCATATTTAGGCCAAACCTTAAAGAGTTTACCACTATCAATCGCTTCACGTACGGTTGCTATTAAAAAGTTACTAGCGGATTAACAAAGGATATTTTGAAAGCGATCAATTCAATCAAAACGTTATCACCACGAATTCACTTGTGGCATAGGTAGAAAAAACCATTGAAATATATCTGGAATACAGTTATGTAGACAAAGAACATACTCGGCTTGGACGAGATATGATCGATAATTACGTGAGTGTCTGTTTGTCGAAGACTGTAAACGTTTGACGCCGCCAGATTTTTTAACCCGAAATGGGATCGCTGCTGAAGTCAAAAGTTATTCGTTTGTAATCTAGGTTGGAGTTAGCGCTTACCGAACCGTTTTGGCTTTGCTACCGCCCGCATTTGGCGGAGGTGGAGGGGGGGGTGTATTGAAGTTCGAACGCTGTCGACAATGAGCTGTGTTTCGAAGTGGGCTAGAAATATCTGTTTCATTGATTGGAATTGTTGTTTCTCGCTTTCGTTCGCACACTTCGAATTCTCGGTGATCGTTTAATGGAGCCGTTGTCTCTCGACGAGTTACTGTCGATGTGACAAAATGCTCCTTAGAAACTCTACCCGAATGGTGACTCTGCACGGGCGATATCACCCGCGCATTACTTATGGGCGTTGATGTGTTTACTGTTGTAACCGAAGGACTCATTGACCTCGACCGATGGTAAGTCGATGCGGTCGAATTCGAATTTGTAGCGCGAAAGCCCATCATAACCGGAGAGCTTAGCACTTCGGTACGACTATGATGCAAAGGGCTTTGTGAACGGTCCGCAGAAAATGTAGTTCGAGTAATAAGTGGGCTAGTAGAGGGTTCCTTTGTGAACGAATCTTCAGCCTTTAGAGCTTCGTCGATAATATCCCGTTGGATCTTCGGTATACCAGACGGATTCTGCGCGCTGCGAATGAATTCCATTCGCATCGCATCGTGAGCATTACTAGGATCTTTTGTTGGCGATGCGGGCTTTCGATCAACTTCATCGACCCCTCTGTCGCTCGATGTCCGGCCAGTTACATGTTGTTTCACAGCTTCTGTTGGCGTATCGAAGAACGCGTCCATCTTATCGAAAATTGATGACGCTCCTGATTGAGTTTTGGTCTCTATCTTTTTGGCACTTGTGTCAATTTCGACTGTTCTATCAACACCACTATATGGGTTAGTGCGTCTGTCATCGATCGGACTGCACATTCCCGATGGGCTTCGTGAGGGAGATCCAGTTAGCACACGATAGTTCTCTACCAGCTTTTCGGGGGTTTTCGCCCTGCCATATGGACTTGCTGTACGCTCGAAGGGGCTGCTTGGGGTTTTTCGTCCTTCAGTGTATTCGGCGCGGAAAATGCCACTGGGTAAATCTCCTTCAGGGCTGAGTGCTCTATCAGGCGTTTGAGAAAGTACCGCCCGATACACTTCCGACGAACCCGCGTTGCTTGTTGCACTGGTAAAAGTGGTATGATTGCTTGACCTGTTACTAGTAATATTCGTCACTGTCGTGGTTGAATTTAAACGATGAGCGAAGGAATTGGTCTGGTCCTCAGATGGCCGCAGTGGCTCGTTGTGACCAGCGATGATATCCGGCGTTGTTACGCGCGATGTGAGAGAACTTCGAGTCGTTTGGATCAGCCGGCTGCTCGTCGGACTCATCTCACGTTCACTGCATAATTCAAAGTACATTACGATTTAGTTTGTAAAAGCATTGAAACTAATTACCAATGATAGACTTTTGAATTTTGACCGACGATTTTCTAGAACAGACTACTTTGTTTAACTAAACTTAGAATAACAATCTTGAATTGAAATTTCTATTTTTGGTAGCCTATGCATTTCCGACCTAACAAGTCGGAACTCGGTCCTCCGATCTAAAGATCCACTTCCATGTGTATCAGGAACGTGTGGGGCCAACTTTGGACTTAGCACCCTATTACTCCCATCGTCGCTCCGATAGCCATCAATATGGTATGATGCCTCACGAAGGTCTCTGGAAGCCGATGTAAATTAGCATTATTTATTTCTTGAAGGAGCTTTGAGGGATAGATACTAATTTTGGCCAGATATATTAAATTAATTTGTTCAATTTTCCAAAACTTGTTCAATATCTATTTTTAAGTCCTATTACTTTTCTTAGTTTTTTTTTTATAAAAAAAATACCTGCTCGGTGACTCTTACCTTCTACCCATAGGGCTGAGTAAAGGTTGCGGTGACAGAATACGATGACTGGGACTTTGGATTCTAGTAATAAGATCTCTGTCCATTCGAGGCATAGGCTCGCCTAGGATAAATTCTGAATCAGGCATATTTCTTCCATTAGACGTCATCCCAAAGGCTGAGTCCCTAAAGGGACTGTCGGCCAATGTTCGGCCAGCCGAACTTAACTCTGACCGAAACTGGAAGCCGCTTGGGCTCGTAGCGGGTTCATTGCCCACCTTGAGAGAGACAAGCACAAAGAGAAGTAATAGCTACCATTATCAATAAAGAAGATGCAAAATCAGTTTAAGTCTTTGTTATTCGTTGACGCAGGTCGTAACCAGTTAACATGTACGAAGATACATATTTCGTAATCGACGTTTCATGGACGCATACGGAATACTCGTATCTTTCCTTCAACAATGGACAAATATACAATAGGAATTTACAGACTTTGTTGTCACTATACAAACTATCTAGGGCAGCAAGTACTGTTCGTTGAGAACAGCGTTATTTAGTTAAAACAGAGTGCAGGTTTCCAGGTCGCTACCTTTCAGAAAACCAACCTGAATGTAGAAGGGCGATCCCTTGATCTGGTTATCGTTAAAAGAAAGTTGAACGGACAGTGAACCATTGTGGGGGGGATGAAAGCTAAAGACGTAAAGGCCATCACCCCGCTCGTCGCACGTTACCGGTAATCTTCGACCACTGAGTTCAAGTAAAAGATTCAGCTTACCCCAGCCAGCATCTTTGGTGTCTACGGCAATCTGCGACTCTCGTCCAGCTTCGTATCGCACCGGTGTTCGCAACTGGTGAATTTTTATAGCATAAGTAGCAGAAGTAATCAATGAAAAACGTGTAAAAATTGATGTCGATGCTCATGGTTTATTTGTTGAACTTGGCTGAATTGAAAGCATTTGTAAATCTAAAGTGCCCTCAGGTCTTTTCCTGTATCGTAGTTTATAATGATAATGTTTCTATTTCTGCACTTAATATTTACAGTATTGTGCTTGATTGACATTGGGTGTTCACCTTGATTTTGGTTGGGTCGTACACATAACATGTAAACGGCGAACCCGAGATATGTTCTCTTGCATACGTCACGTGTATCTGCCATTCGCCCACGGTGCGTGGCACAAAAGAAGTACGGAACGATGACCCACTCTGATCAACATCGACTTCGCATGGAGTCACCACTTCGCTTGGAGACACTGCTTCGATTTGTACGCCGCGTCCTTGGACGCCATTCGAGTTAATCTGTACAATAAGTGATATATACGACGGAAATCATATAAGTGCATACATAAACCCAGAAGGCGGAGGTATTAAAAAAAAAATGAAATCGCGCAATAGAACTAAGTTTTGAGGTACTGTAGTAGTCAAATCTTCCGTTTAAGCAGGGAATTTTTCGTTTGTGCTGGATATCAGAAACCGCAACATGTTGCTAGCTGATCGGAAAATTCAATTATAGAGAACTTGATCTTAATGATCAAACCAGCACGAACCAGAACTTCGACCAGGCTTCCAAGGGCACATGGCGCAATTCCAGAGTAGAGAATTCTAGAGATGTCCGGGAAGACTTCAATGAACATTGGGCAACACTCAGCTAGAACGCCATTCACAAACGCACGGAGCTCATGTGGAGTTGATTCCGTGGGCAGGAAGCTCCCTGTGCCACCGCTAACATCGACGTCAAGCCTGTAATACGGCAAGATCGCATTCTCAGTTGCAGTGGTAAGATACATCATGATTCATATACGTATGTTACCGGCTTACCCTGTCAAGCACTGCGCTAAATGGCGCCAATATCTAGGTCGGATGTTGGCAAGTGCTTTTGAATTAAACTAGTAGAGAAATGAACTAAGGCTTTATTTTAACAACATTACATGGTTTTATCATAGAGGTAACACAAGATACGGGGTTATTTGCACGATGACGTATCGAGTAATTGTGACTGGTATTTGGTGAAGTAAAGTGTAGGTAATAAACGATGACACTCAATACAATGCTCGTGACGCACTCTCATACCTGACTGGTACCCTTTGCCCATTCCGAATCTGGACTACCTCAACGGTGACGTCCCTCTCCACGTTTATAGACGGATCCACAGCAACGATCTCAAAAGTCGCCTGTGAACAAACGGGACGCGAAGAACGTAAAGATTTCAACGTATTTCGTCCGGAAATGACATCTTGCTAATATTCTCACTTAGTTGCTCTATTGACCTGGGGTTACTTACTGCTTTGTTGACGTGCACATTATTGAGGTCAACGCCTCGAACATAAATCCGTTCGTTTTTTCGTGAAGCATTGATTTCCCTAGGCGTTAGTTTCTGGAATCTAGCAAGATACCCCATGACCGCCAGAGCCTGTACATCGGGGTCGGACAGCTCCTTCGATGATATCGTCCTGAGCAAATAAAGATGTAGCGATACGTTGTATCTAATGAGTCACACTGCTCGTGAATTTCTTTATTCGTATCTGTTTGGAAATTTCGTAAGTAACTATAGGATATACTGGGACTATTAGAGTTGAGAACTGATATTACCGCAGCGTGTCGTTGCAAGCCCGCCCCAAGTACTACACTTACGGCCGTCACAATTCTTGCCAGCTGTGATAGTCGTAAAGTTAAACGAAACTATACGGTAAGATTAACTGTACACCTATACAGAACAGACAATAGTTTATAATATCTGAGTAACTGATATCTACCTCCAAACAAATCAATGCACAAATAAAAATCGCGAGTCTTCTAACCGTACTCGAGAACTAAGGCGTATCAACGTACTTCGGTATGCCCAGTTGTGTGTTAGCAGCCATAATGCCACGAAAACAATTGTTCTCGAATTCGTGGGGAAGACGCGAAAGTGCGTTCATGTCCACGGAACCCCCAAGTTTATTTATCAGTTCACAGAGGGCGCTTCCATCGTTCCAGTCCGTCTGTGAAATTGAACACAACACAGGGTTTTTACATTGCATTTTTACCATTACAACACTCTAGCTATGAAAATTATACAGTGTAACAGAGAATATAGCCGGCCAATGTTTTCTATTAGCATATACGTTTGGCGCCTCATAGAACACTGCAGTAGTTTTAGCAATATCTTATGTTTATTTAACAAACAAAAATTGCTTTGACCTATTCCGTCAAAGAGCGCGGCGGCCGTAACAATTACCATGTAACGCATTGCTAATTTGTGGCCGTTACTGTGCATAATATAATTATACATAATATATATTACATATAATTATAAAGTCGATATTAGAACCAAGCGTACTATAGAGGTCACACAGTTGTATAGGGTGTAAATTATTATTTTGAGGGAAAAACGACCGCTTGTACTATATAACGCTCTCGTAAAAATCTGTTCCCCGACGATTTTTCTCATTCATCTATATTTAAAATCGAGTGTTTGTATGCTTATTCATTTTGTGAAAAGTAAATATTCATTACTATAAAATAAAACAGACTAGAGAAATCCTAATTTACCGGTGACGTTCCCCGGAAGTAAGGCGGAGAGTGTCAGACGTTAGCCGACTTTATTCAAAAATTGATCCCTATCCTATCGTCAGGGAGAGAGACGAACGTCGCTAATGAAAACAAGGTAGTCGTGGTAGATTTGCTATTACTGTCTATATTGGAGCATCAGAAGAACGCTCGTACTTTCGTAAATGTAATACAGTGTACTTACCTGTTAGGCGTATGTCTGAGAACATAGTTATTAGGGAAGTTTATTATAAGTTATAAGGGAAGGAGAACGGTTTGAAATGAAAGTATCTACTTTTACCAGGAAAATTTGCCAACTGTTCAATATGGCAACAGTAAGAACACGGTGACTTACGTACTCAATGCGTACTTTTCCATAGCGAATAGGTAACGAGTATATACTGATTGTATACAGGTTATCGATTGTTCGATGATCGAAAGCGATCAGTTAGATAAACAAGTACTATGATGCATTTTGTCAAAATTGTTTTGCAAGATTGTTCTGCTGTAACTGATCATTACTTAACAACGATAAGTTGAATTTTTAGTCGGGCACAGCAACCAAGGCCGCAAGATAACTTCTGATAATCATCGTCTATAGAATAGCTTGAACACAAGGCTGCGGGCTAACTGGTTTGCCGATATCTGTCTTCGATGCTATAGAAGTCACGGTATTGCGACAGTTAAAGTGTGATCGGCAAACGAAAAACAACATTTTCTGATCCCTCGTTATCGCAAATCGACAACGCCTAAAATAATCGTTTGATGGGGAGCCAGTCAAACGAATTACCCTATCCGAATTTGACTGATTAATCGTAACGGGTTCGACGTCGCGCGCTGGTACCTACGAGGCGCCATACAGAAATGTGTGCCACCCAGTTTGCTCAGATTTTATGTGCTTCGTCGTGGTACGTTAGCTTCGGCGAAGGCTTACGAATATATTTTGTGTCAAGATACAATGTTATAGCAAAGCTCGATATTCGAGACGGTCGACGAACTCAACCGAGTTCGTTTGGAAAATAAACATTCTCAGTTTTACTTGTAGAAATATGTCCAAAGGCTCACGCCGGCCGTAGTAGACCACCACGTTAGGCAACACTTAAAAGAGCTTTCATTCGTGCCAGGCAAAAATACACACAGTTCTTGATGGAGGCAAATCGGCTCGAGTCTTAGATCATGGGCATCCGTCAGACCGCCTGATTCTAGTTAGATTTCTAGGGAGTTCTATTTTCGTCCACGCCTAACAAAGCAAAAAACAATGGACGATTTCAAATTTGAAATGTCTTGTCAACGCTCGCTAGCCATTACCTACGTACACAGATTCTTGTCGTTCCTGCGTATGTAAAGACTACAAACGTGCGCACCGAGCAGTTATACATCAAGCGTACGACTCAGTAAATTTTTGACGAGTTAGCTTGACGGATCCGGTGAGCTGTATGAATCGAGTGCATAGATAAACTACAACGCCATTGACGCGAACGACTGTGAATGGTTTTTTTTTTTTGTAGCGGTGCCTGTTGATCGATACGTTCATGATGCCAGCACTACGACATACTGCGCGCGGACTGTGCAGTGACTAATAGTGGGGAAACAACAGCTGGCGGCCGTTACCTTCCGCCTGCTTTTGCCTTATCTTAAATGTACCTTCTCAATTAACAACAATGACGGTACTCACACGTAATACACGCGAACGGCGAAGTTAAGCAGTGTTTTTGATCGATTCACGAAAAAACGTTACAAATTCCCGCAGTGCGACATTTAGTACAATTTCGTTGTTCAGGAGGCGAGCGCCCTTTGGTGTTTCTGACCGAACGGCGACAGTGTGCCGCAGGTGTTTCGTTCAGTACAAACACGTATACGATAAATGATATGACAATAACAATGGCATAGTTAATATTCATAGTAATAACAACTGCGACAATTTGTATATGTACAGGTATGGGAAACGTTGCTGTTTCCGTGAAGCTATGGTGGAGGTGGTGAGATACCAATCAGAAAAGATACATCTGTGTTGGGGTGTTGATGATTGGCGGATAATTAGTATTCTCATTTGTTCCTTTGCTTCCCACTTCGAAGTTTTCGTTTGTTGATGACGAAGTGCCGTGAACCGTTCGAAGCCTCGTTCCTTACTCTATGAAGCCATTACTGTCGTTTTTATCACAAGACCAAAACGTCTTACTTGGCTTGTCGGTCACGTACAACGTTTTAGATCTAATATACAGACTTCGCCCTACAAGTTTGCAACAGAGTTAAGTTGCAAACTTATTTCGTGATAATATATATTCTATTTTATGTACAGAATTCGGTGGAGTGGTACGATAGTCTAATGGAAAAATCACAGACAGCCAGGTCTGCTTAAGCTGTCAAAAGATCTGAATATCAGATCGACTACAAACTTTAGTTTCTTCTTACCAAAAGCTACATTAATTCTTTATATATTATAAACTGCGAACGATGTGTCCCTGGCTAGTATCGTAGATAAGCTTTCTATTAATAAAGGGGGCATTTGAATCTAGCAAGTTCCAATGAGAAAATTTTTAATTTTTTTGGCTGACTGACAACCAACACAATGAAGTCAGCGCGGCCTTACTGGCCGATATCACTTCGCTTTGTTGTGCGGATCGAGCTGTTTTTGAAGAATACCTAATAGATTTTATGATATAATAGTAATCGAAATAAAAAATTGATCGTTTTTACAAGACGCCCTTTAAAAAGTAATGCATCAAAAAATCATATTAACGCGCACGCAGACAGATATGCGCGTATCCAAGGCCGACTCTGTTTGCCGTCTGTCTTTATTCGCTGCTGAAGGATAGTGCACCTCTAACAATAGATGAGGTCAGGCTGGTTAGTTAGACATTACGATTATTGTAATTCACGCGCGTCTAATCATATACCTAATTACCTCAGACTTCAGTAACCTATATCCTAATTACCTTTATCGTGATGGGGCAGTTTTTCGCCCGTGATCATCGCGACGCTAATTATGCTTTAGGTGAGTATCTGACCTAGCACGACGACCTAGTTTGAGCTAGAGAATAAGACTTATTTCTGTTCGTTGCTGACGGCGTGCCAAAAGTGTCTCCTTCATCTGACAGATTTCGGGGAAGTAATAACAAAAGAGTTCGGACACACACACACACACACAATGCATTCTTTAAATAGAATTTATGTTTATCACGTTACACTACAGTGCCTGCTACTACTTACGGTGAAGTTGCTAATGTAGGGGAGATATTGGCGGACCCAGTTGATCATGGCACAATATCCGGCTGAGGCGTCGTTCATATAATACGACAGATACGTCATTCCTGATAGCCCAGAAGACGATGAATCATAAGGGAAAAACGACATTTGGCTTAGAATAAATCTATGACGCTTACTCGACTACCGCAGACAACTACTTTAACAAAATAGGACTATTAAGGCCTGTAAAAACCAAATAAAGCGCGTTCACCATTCATAGTAAGTAGATGGAATATCTATGTTTAACACTAGAGATTATCTAGTACAGCATGATGGAATGGTGTCCGACCTCGTTAGTTAATCCGGGAGCGTATGCGTACCTGAAAGTTCGTCAAGTCTCTCAGAGGCAAGGTCTTCAGGTCGAAGAACAATAGGGATGTTCAGCTGTTCTCGAGCAGTTTCCATTGCTAGCTTACAATTCTCGTACCTGCGCAAATAATGGTCGTGTCGAAAACCGTTACTCACATATATGTATATACGTGATACGGCGCCAGGTTCCCAAAAGGTCTCGAAATCGTTTCAAAAGACAAGCTACTTACAGGCAATGCATGCATACACGCAAGGATAGATACGTGCAATTAGCATAGTAAGCGCTCATCTTACTGAATGAGCTTTTGTTTCGGCCGCACGGAAGGGTACTTTCCAAATAACACATATAAAGAACTCTACCCATTATTAGGATTGAGGTTTTTCCAGTCCGGAATAAGTCCAGGTTTGCAATAATCGACAAGCGCGCTCAAAAGCACTCCGGAATTCCAATCAGTCGAGAAGTTCGATATGTCTAATTCTGAAATATTCATAAGCAGACATAAGTGAGGTATTTTCAGTAGGGTTCTTTCAGTATGGTATGTAACGTATAGAGAAAATACAGGATTACGTATATGTGTCCCAGAAGAAACTATATATTAGACTAGTGGTTCACTTACGCACGCACTGGACTGAACCTAATTCATTCATTACTTCGTTCTGTCCGCACTACTAAAGCTTTATCGAAAATCACCATTGATGATAAGCGGCGCGTTCCGTTTCACTGTTCTCGCGTCATCAATTCTTCTACAATATCGTATATTCTAAATTATTATAGGCACATATATCATATATGCCCTCATTTCTACTTTTTTTCCTCGTACACGCGTTCTAACATAAACGCATGAGAAAAACCACAAAAACACCAACCTACAATCATAGTAGATAAGGATCATTGAAACTTTCTGGAACTGACATTCACTTTCGTTTTCGATTGCCGTCGTCCGGAAATCTTATAAGGATGTATTGTCTATTAGGGACACGGCAGTTGTATAGTTCGCCGCCGTTGAATGGCGGCCGCCGAAGGACGCGTCAAAAGATGCTCCCTGCTGACGCTAGAAATGCATCGCTACTATCGTAATCCACTATCGCAGCAGAGGAATTGTTTCCTCCTTTGCATTAGCAAAAAAAAAAAACAAAGCACAGCCATCGACTGGCGGAAGAAGCATGGCTTTCCTGATTAGGACATAGGTATACAACTGCAAAAAGCCTGTTTTCGTAGCAACGATCAACAAGCAAGGGTTTTTGTTAAAGATTTAGTTTTCGTTTCGCAGCTTCACCATCGACCGGCCACTAAAACGATGCGAGAGGCACCTTGCAGTCTTTCCATATTGCGATTCAGCCATATTTTCAGTAGTGTTAAATCAACACGGTATTGAATCAGCTCGCTGCACCGCGTCTATTATGTCGAAACAGCGAAAGGTCGCATGTTTTAAGGGGAACAGTCTGCTGCGAAATTTGATGACTAAATCTAGTATGAAACAATCTGTAATGGTACTAGTAGTCAAAGATAAGGAGATGTTCAAGAGTATCACTTATTGCCACGATTATGTGGCCATCTTTCACCTGCGAGCTAAATTCCATTCCTCACGAAAAAAACGGATCAGATTAAACTCTGACTCGATGCATTCGCTTGTGAAAGTAGTGTGCCTCATTGCCTGTGTGCCCGTGTATAGCCCAGGCTATTACGATCAATTGGTATTGTCGATTATCGGAACGAAAGAGGCGAAAGTTGCTAGTAACGACGTTACTTATTGGTAGGTACTGTTTCATCATCGTTGCTTGTTCGAACATTAAAGAAGCGATAATTATTCTTCATATCTTCACTCATCTTACGTAACATTGCAACAAATACAACGGCTTAGCAGCGAACGGTAAGGCAAGAGTTGCATTTTAACTTACTGCAGGAAACCCGGTAGTTATGTGTAAAAACGTTCGGCATATATAATGTGAATGCTTTGTACTCTTACTGCTCGGATCGGTGTTTGTTCAACTGATTTTTACTAAGACAGTTTCGCACTTAGTCTATCGACTAGATGCTCGGTAGGTTATACCTAAGCATCAAGAGATTTAGCGGTAAGTAACGGCAGTGTACCCAACCCACAATTTTCTCTATAAACAAGGTGCTTTTTTGGAGGGCAATTGCCCATTGATCATCGATATGCAGATCGCCCCCTGTTAGCCTTAATATCTATTCGGTCTGTCTACATATTTAAGCTTGCTCTATGATTAAGTGGACGCACTGCACCTGCTACAAGCAACCATCGTACAGAGCAACAGTATCAATGTGGTACTCTTTGTCGTCATCATATAGCAACAACAACATCAGCAGACAGTCTCTCCTGTCGAGCTTCGATATTCTTTCGGTTGTTATTATTGCGAAGATAAAAAGCTCCGTCCACTTCGTCGTCGGCCGACACGTCTTCATTAGGATCCTAATAAGGGTAGCACGAACTCATGCAGGCTACACAGTCATCAATCGGGCAGCATAGGAAATGTTCTTAGCTGGTACTTATTATAACGGTGTATACCGTGGTTTGCCGATGTGAAAAGTTCCCATTAGACCACTATAGCACTATGCCTATCTCTCATCAATACACAATGAACTGTACGGAAGCGGCACGTGTGGAATATCATCGGTTGAACTTGTTTAGCCAGAGTAGTTTGATTAGTATCGGTAAAATGGGTTTAAATAAATCCCCATGCATGCGAACAGAATCAGCACTACAGATTTTCGAAATTATTCACGCAGTAGCTGGTCTGATAGAGGTTAGAGATGCGTCGTCCGTTGGGGGGTGCCATTAACGAAGTGCCAAACGCAGAACATATTAGCTCGTTGATTATTGTCAATCTAGCTGGACCCCACGCCGTACGACGGCCGGTACGGCCAGCTGATATACTAAACAATGCCTTTTTACCTAGATTGAATTTGTCACTTTTTTTTTTTTTGCTTATAGTCAAATGAATGGTTCCGTAGAATCATGTGTAGGAGAAGAGCTGATCCTGGATAGCTGAAAATGTTCTGTTGGTTATTATTTTACAATGCCACATCTGCATTTTGTACAACTATCCTTTGCTGTGCGTATAATTGTCATTGTGTTAGAGTTAGCATTGGATAATTACGATGGTTTGCTTTGTTGCTACCAATAAAAGAAAGCGGCTTCTCCGTGCGATAAGAACAACATACAAACAAACTATATTGAAGTCCGACCCGAAATGCTCTATGTTATGAAGCTACTATCTGGCCTAGTGGATTTTTATGGCGTCGCATCTGACCTGTGAATATTCTAGCCTTGAGGCTGCATTGATGGTGTATACTGCTACGGTTAAATCCTCTCCTATAGAGTTAGCATATCGGTTTCACCATTGGTCAACGTTTTCTAGATCTGGTCGGTAATGATACAACGGAAGATATTATTTTTTCCCAAAAACTGAAAAATACCTTCATCCAGTAAGATTTTCTTCAAACCGCAAGTATTATCATGTACCAAGTATTATTATTATCATTATTGCAAGTTTTTCATGAGAAAAGCATCTAAAGATAATTAGTACTTCATCTCAACGTTAAGACATGACAGTGATCGACAATTGACTAGAAATTCGTCATTTTAAAACCCATATTTGAAAATAATTACTTCCATATAATACTTCGTTTGCTATCAGGATAAGCAGTAACGTTTTCAAGGTGCTCATTATACTGATATTCCCCGTAATAATCTGATTATTCTAGATAGTCCTTTTAGCAAACATTCACTAAACGGGTGCATCACATCTGAAAATGAAGTACCACTCAACGAAGGTAGCAAAAGCGTTCGTCAAAAATGCAACAGAACAACTGCCTGAGGTTCTTTGATCGTTGTAACCGCATTGTAAACCCACGGTAGCGTTCGCTGATTACATTTATTCTTATAGGTGGTTATGTATATGTACATAAATGTGTATACGTGCACTCAAGGATCATATGTGTCAACAACTTCACATAACCTAGCTACCTAGACTCTAGCCATCACAAAATGAAAGAATAACATGAAGTACTCATGTGTGGTAAAGGCAAATAGCCGTTGACCAGCACTTGGTTAACTTTTCGTGAAGAACCGACGTACTTAATCGACCGCCAACATCGCAAAAGCCTACGGGCAAGCTGGGCACGGTCTTCACCACACAAATTGCACGCACTTCAGAGTTGTGAACAGGCCGAAAAGGAACGCGTTCCTAGCCTGAGTAGAGTATGAATCAGTGAAGAACACCTTATGTTTGCAAATGAGCGAACATACAAGAGTAATGAACTATCTTAATCGCATGTAACCTACAGTGCTCACGAGTGCACTTGATGTAGCGTTGAAGCAACGAGGACCCCCTACAACTTCGTGAAAATCGGCAAAAGAAGAACGGCGCATGAGCATACCCAAGGATTAAATCGAAAGGGACGTAAGTGCGTACTTAAAATACAATACATTACTTACATGAAAAATACAACGATGGTAATCTTCATTGCCCACCTAAATACGAGTGAGTAAATAGCGCACTCACCGGAAGGGAGAACGGCCCGCAACCAATTTAGCATCAGCTTCCTGGCGGGCGCGTTGGAACGGCCAATTTGATAACGTACAATCAGACTCCAGACGAGGCCAAGAATGAGCTTCAAGTTGCCTTCGACAACATCCAAATTACCTGGAAAAATCAAAGGATCATATTAAGCTATAACTGAATTACAGAGACGGAAAAACCTACCTCATTTCTAATGTTCTTTACTATTATAAAATAACAATTTATAGGGTTGCGGCTGGAACAATCAATATTACATACAGACGTTACAATTTTATTACTAGACATATTTTAAATGGAGCGGTTCTTCGTGACGTTAGCTCAAGATGGTCACCGATTTTCTAAACTGATCATTTTCCCTGGAGATAGTTTGCTCGACGAACAGGTTCACTGGTTTGTATAAGAAAATTATCATATCGAGAGGTAGGAAAAACGAAGGAAGCACTATCTGAGCTAGGTATAAAAAATTCTGACCATTTAACCCAAACGTGGAAGCCATCAATTATTTGGAAGTGACCCATTGAATGCTAGCGGTGAAATAATGGAATATTCATTGCTAGTCAACGTTGTCTATGACGTACTTAGAATATTTTTTCTCCTAGTTTTGAAAGAACTCTTTAATAAAAAGTATATATATATATACATATATATATATACATAATGTTCTATTCAGTATTCTGTATCGAACATATATAACGTAATACATAAAACCGAACGTAAGCTATGATAACATTAGCGTTGAAATGTTAATAAACACAATAGCATTAGCGGTACATCGACGAACGTTTTTTTTTTTCAGAAATTGGTGCACAAAGAGTCTGTCGGCTCCAGTGATGTCTCATACCATTTACTATTGCACGATTACGTCTTGTACTATTTTGGCCCATCGTTCCTTTCCTAGGCCGGCCGTATCCAAGTACGTAAGCCAGTGGACGGCAATAAACGGTCTCGTAAACATAGCTTATTAGTACTACAGGTTTAGGTAATGTTCTAACCAAGCCAGTTCCTTGAATACAAAACGGCATTGATTCACAAATGCTTTATAGGATTTTAAAAGGCTAATCCTATGATTCAAAATCTATGACGTTACCCTTCTATAACAGCGTAACTAGCTGAACGATGAACACAAGATTTGTAATAATTTAACTTGTGCGGAAAAACGGTGACGGTAAATCTGTGCTTATATAAATACCATGCTACACATTTTAACCCAGTTACATGTCGCTGTTCTGGAAAGCGGGTTGTCTTAGTAAGCCATATGGCCAATAATAGCAACAATTACCTGTCTTCATGAAAAGATGAATCGTCATCGCGACATCAACATTTTTGACATCTCGCAAACACATCAGAGTCAAGATTTCAACCAACAGCTCTTATTATCTAGTACTATATTGCACGCACACATATTATGCTGCCATCATCTTGCTATTGAACGGAATAGAAAAAAAACTTCCTAAATATACGTTATTTTCCCTGGTGCGTTTCAATCGAACAATCGTTTTCGGTCGTTATTTTTTTCTCTATTTTCCGCGTACCTTGATGTCAATTGTACAGTCCAATATATATAAGCCTTGCTCTAATGCTGCTAAATCGTCTGCGACCATCATCAAATCTAAATTCAATCAATACAAGATGGAACAGACTAGCCGTCCAGCCCAGCATCATCCCACAATTCGAGTTCAAAGTCTCACGAGTGTTCCATTGGGCCGACGGCCGGTCGAGCTCAATGATCATAACGTGAAAATGGGTGAGGTTCTATAGCTTTCCGATCATTTGACGTCCCATCAAAAACAGAGCGGGAAAGTTGTTTGGTGAAAAGGAATCTCAAAAGACACCGGTAGTTGCGCGTCGACTTTTGCGAAAGCATAATGTTCCAGTAGGATATAAACATATCGACAACGAAATCGTTCGATCGTAGGAGAAACGCAAGGCGGCACAATGCTTGAATAGTGGAGTAGGCCTAATGGCCTATGTCGAACAACTCGAAAAAAAAGTGCGAAAGAAATACACATCTCAAATTTGATCTACCTTTAGATCCACGTAACCTATATATATTAACAAATAGGCCATTAACACTTTACAAAGTCCTAACGTAGGAAGGCTTTTTTTCTATTGGGCTACCAATATACCCTCTGATAGCACCGTGGCTGAGAGCGCTAGCACGATGACGGGACACTTCTACAGGGCGCAAATGCCCATTTAGTCATGCTAGATAATTATTGGAATAATCTTTTACCTATTTGATATGTACGTCATATTATCTTTTCGCTTACGAGAATGGTCAAATCATTTAATTTTAGTTAATAATAAAATATTTAGTACACCTATTCTTTGTCTCATAATACCTAAGCAATACTTTGTATACAAGAAAAAAGGAACAGGCATGGCGTTGGCAACTAGGTCAAGGGCAAATTATAAGCCTCATCATTTATACGCTTTTCTAAGGATGTAAGACGATGAATTTCAGTTGCATCATTGAGACGAGATAAGTAAGTACCCAATGCCATTTTCGTAGCACACAAAGGCATTATAAAGATGACACCTGTCGCCGTAAAGTCAAATTTGACAAGATGTAGCTTTTTCTAGCTAGGCAATATATATAGGCTAGGCAAATAGGCAATGGTCGCTAACATACAGTTCACGTTGGGCTGAAGAATTCGACAGTGTGAAACATCAACCCAACTGCCACAAGACTAAGCAGAAGAGGGGCAAAGGGGCACACAAGACCAATCGTTGAAGCTCATTGGCGTCCAGCGCCAACTATTAATTGGACGGTCGAATGGACACTTAATATTCTTCTATGTAAAACAGCCGTCAATATCATTATAAAATATTCAAGTGTATCAGAATTGTTTCAAGCCCTTCAAACTTGAGCTTTATTGAAGATTTGCCCCTTGGAATCTTTCCGACTTTTCAGAAGTTGCATGGAAGCTGGCCATAGCATAAACTGTCAATGTTCTACTTGTTAGCTAGTGTCATTGTGCTGGAATGATAGGTAATCGTTGCCCGAAGAAATAACTGGTCTCTAACATCGACAATAGCGGAAATATGGACACTCGCTAGGGCAAACATCTCACCAACGCCTACCTGCGTGTGAGTGCTCCACCTCGTAGATACGCTAGATATATCTAGCGTAGGAAATGAAATTTTAGCCCTTGCGTGCGTATTATTTTGTGCGTTTCCTGCTTGCTTGTAGGGGCAGCGGCTAACGTTAATGAGTTGTATGCCAAAGTATGTGCACAAAGCATGCATTTACAATGTGTCATAAAGCAAAACCGAGATTATATATAGAAGACAGAGAAATTTACTTTTTTTCATCCGATATTTACCCAGCTCACTTACGAGCTGTCATCTATTTCATAACTAAACTATGCGAAAACTATATATTGTATAAAGGAAGTTCTCAATTTGTAACTCAGGTCCCTTTATGAACGGACTTTTGCAAATGGCTACATTTAATTAAGATACAGTCGTTGCTTCCACGTCCGCAGTGTAATAAGTAACGAAACCAAAAAAATATATTCGGACTTTCAGTAATTTCTGATGACGGATGCGGATATGAATGCCAATATATATTGATAGATTTCAGATTGACAAAAATAAGGATTTCTTCCTTATGTTCTCCAACGCATTCGTTCTTGTCACAAACAGAACGTGTGAGAAAAAATTAGCTGACGAGGCCTGACGTCAGACAACGGTCAAAGAAGACTCTTACGAGATGAACACTTACGTATCTAGTTAAGTATGTCCGCCTGGATGAAGCTACTCGTTTTGATTGGCACGAAACAAACAGCGTCATAATTCGAGCATCTTTTGTTATTTGGCAACGCAAAGCAATGTTAGCTTCGGCAAACTAGTAGAATCCAGTCAAGATGAACATGGACAACAACGTTAAGCTTCGACCGCTGTCGTCGGTCGCCATAAACGCGCCTCGACCCCGTCCCGTAGACGTGGCAGTTGCCCACTGCGATACGCAGCAAAATCAACCTATTCCTTAACTTAGTAGCGTTGTATCTCATGATCTTCATCACGACACATCTATGAGCGGAAAACACAGCTTCTAGTAGGACCCCTTACAACGGGGACCGATCTATATGTCACTAGAAATAAATGCACAGGAATTAGGACCGCATCAATGAGTTCTGAGAAATCTGACGACGAATATATCTACAGAAAGATAGACTACGCCCAACGGAAATAGGAAGTACGTGGTCATACGGAAGAACACGTTGCCAAAGATCAGCAGCACGTTAAATAATACCGCTAGTGCCACCTATGCACTGAACGCATCAAACGCAGAACACTCCGATTTGTCTCTGACTATACCTAGCTAATCGTTCGAATCAGCACACGGCCATTCTGGTCAGGACAGAGATCTATCGACGACAGATCCACATATCAGGATATTCACCGTAACCTAAATATATAGCTACGCAGCCGTGAAGTTATTTCAAACAGTGAGGATAGCATAATCAGCTTGATCTAATAACAGTATAATACACGCTAAACTTCGCCCCGGTATTCCGTCTCATCGTTGACACACCCTGCACGTATGAGTGAATAAGGAAAATTATCAACTACCTGTAAACTCACGAGAAAACACACCTCTCACAAGCGGTGGAACAATCTATCGACTCAAGTGATCCTACAGACTTTTTTTTGGTAGATTTCTTAAATTATGCAGCAAGGGAATTTCATTGAAGTCAATTGCCACATAGATAAAATAGCTTACTGTATTTTCCTGCAACAACTTTAAAAGGATGTTTCTCCAACAATACGTTTATCGAATATTCCATATTTTTATGAAAATAAGAGCACATTATATCTAATGGTAGAGAAACGCGCGTAAAGATGACCACTTCATTCGACCAATATTTCTCCACATCGTCAGCCGTACCCGATTGACGGTGGCGTCTCTTGATCAGTAGAATCCATCCAGCTCCGAGGCGCGTCTGGGGGCTATGGTTATCAAGCCGCTGCGATTGTTAACAGGACCGCTACAGGCAAAAATAAAGCATGGGAGGTCTGCATAATTACTAGCACTTCTTCTGCTACAGTAAATACAATAAAACATCACGTGGAGTCGTCAAGAGTACTAATGCAGTATCCGTAATGCCACAAAGTGATTTGTGCGAGGCCTAACTACACGTTATTACCGCAATGAACGAGAATCGGGAATAAAATGAAGAACATTTTTTATTTTTTATGTACGTTTCGCGTGCGTGCTTGCTTTAAAGGTTGACCTAAAACAAGGCTTAATTACCAATAGCAGTGGAAGTCACTGATTAGAACATTTTCAAGCACAATTCGCCGCTGGACGCGTTGCGCAAGTAGTTCTGTTCGTGAGGGTACACCCAGTGACAGATGTGCTGGCCTCAACTATAATGATGTAAACTTTTGATTTCGTTGACGAGTTTCGTCAGTGAAGAGGCAAAATGTTTTAATCTCATATGTACATGCTGTGCTGACGCTACACGGCGTAATTACTCAAGGGAGTGCTTCGAGTTGTATAGTTTATTGGCGTCGTCTTCAACGAACGCCAATAAGAATGATTTTTTTTTACACTTATGGTAGTGTAGTGCCTAGTGTCTAGTCTAAACAAAGCCTAATATAAGCTAGTTATTTGAATAGCCCGCCTTCTATTTTAGCGGAGACGCGAACGAGACAAGCGTAGGGATTTGAGGGTGAAAAAGGCGGGAGGAGGAGAGGGGGGTCAGTTCTGTGACTGGACACTAAGCCATCCTGATATTGCTGCTTACGACTGTGAAGATAGCGTTTCCAGTCGGTTGGCTGTGGATCAATGAACGGACAATTCATCTCTGCTATTGCTGATCAGCTTTGACTGCCGCCTTGTCTGGTATGGCCGTCATCTCGCGCTCGCTCTCGCTGTCCACCTGCGCGGCACTGAAGCTTCTAGCACCAGCAGCAATAACTAATATAACAATAATAGTAACGATAGAAGTGCCAGCCCCAGCTGCAGTACTATTACGCCGTTACATCTGCTGCTGCCGTCTTGCCGCTGGTCTCTACCGATAGCCACACCATGACGGAGCGAGGTCTAAAGTCCAAACGAGAGTCGATGCTTTGTGATGCGATCGGTCCCGGTTGAACGAACGATCCTCTCGAGCGTTGCGTCGCAGCTTCCCCGCAGAGGCATTCAAACAATTACTTTTCATACTGCTAGTCTCTTTCGCTTTCACTGCTTTTTGCTTCAAACAACGGCGGTAGCAGCAGCAGGAGCACCACCACCACCACCACCACCACAAGCAGCAGTATCAGTAAGACCGACAGATAGACGACAACAGCTGGAAACAGCTTATTTTCGTTCTTTTTTGCATTGAATCGAGACACAAACACATAGACATATATACACACACGCACGTACACGACGAGCGGAAGGAGGGTCCGACACAGCTACTTCTGGAATTACTCAACTTGCTGATAAAATTAATATAACTGGCACGATACAGACTATCAGGCGTACACACAAACACACATAGTAACGCTCGAGCAAGCAAACATAGGCTATAAAAAAACAAACAAAAACATTCGCAGTTAGTAATGATAATTAGAGCGCTATCATTATATTGACGCAAGCTGAAAGAAAGAGCAACGATCAAGCACCGGACCACCAAATGACTGACAATTGCTGGCGCGACAAACAAACTAGGCATAGACGCGGTCACTTAGATTCCCTGTTTCGTTTGTTTTATTACTAAACACGCGTTGACCAGAGATGGGAAGGCGCAAAGGAATGGGGGAATCCCAGGTGTCGACGAAGGAGATCGTGAAAGTTTGTTTAATACGGTGTAGAGACCGAATCTACAGTGGTAGCTGGATGAAACGTCCAGGTCAGTCGTGCTTTTACTGATCTCAAACCATACAAGAACTCAGAGAGACGCAAAGGACGGCCACTTATGACTACACACGCTGTCCGAGCGAGAACTCGCAGTCTCTTTTCCGCAGTTCAGTTGCAACAATGGAGAACACTGTCACAGTGTTCTCGCGGCTGTGCTAACGGCAACTGCTAGTCCCGTTGCAAATGGACTGGAGCTATGCGAGTCCGACACAGGAGAAAGCTCATTGCTCTTTAAACACCGTTTTCGTTCTGCCCTTAGTCGAGGTGTAGTGAAGGGACCGCTAGATCAGACGGAACAGAGCAATATAGCTGGTCGGGCTTATCGCAATGTTCGTTACTGTTATTTAGAGAAACACGCAACTAGCCATAGTACTACTTTAGCGATAAACACGAAAAGGCCTACATAAAGATATAACAAGATAGATTTAGTCTATAAAAATTGCTGCCACGTATATGTACGTGTGTAATATCACAATCAGAGATTGGGGGTACGCTAAGACAGCGGGTGACAAAACAGTCGCTGCCGTCAGTATGAAATAGAAAAATCTGGCCTTCTCTATACCATATACGTCTTGTAATCGTTGCTTTTGGTACAGGTTTATGCAATACGTTGAATGCGCCATAGATTTCGATTAGTGCTAAATGTAGCTGATTTCTCGCCACACATTGGAATACGATGACACTGTTAGGCTTCCGGAAAAACGGCTACCGTCGTTATTGTTCTTGACTCAAAAGGACGACGATGACAGAAATAGTGACGCTGATGATGACCATCTTTTCGAGTAAGCATACTCGAGTAAACATACTGTCAGCTCACGCGAAGCGACCTGGTCGGCGTTATCCCCGGCAGTAGGAAAGCTAATTGCTACTGATGATCACTGAAGAGCAGGACACGCTTGAGTGATCGCTGATGAAGAGGTGGCTGATCACCAGTGTGTTCTTCAATATCAGTTTTACCAAGTAACACTTCCCGATAGTAGGGACAAAGCGATTGCGGACGTTTACAGCCCGTAGGTTTCACAACAATTCCCGCGGGAATCCGTCATATGAGCAGACGGTTTTTTAGCCCGAGAAGAGAGACTGCTATTTACAGAATTCGATCGGATAGCCTTACGTTTGTCAGGATCAGGTACGTTCGAGAGTACGATGTATTTAAGACCAATGCGATTTGTCTACGTATGACTGTTATCTTAATTATATAACAAAAGAGTTAACGAATGAACTAGACTATGATGGCAACCTTTTCCTTGAGCAATGTACGACGCTGATTGACATTGAAAAATATTAGCTTTTATTATGCACTGCTACGACACAAGTTGTAAAATCTCAGCGAAGACTAACCAGAATCAACAGTCTTTGACAAAATTGTAGAGCTTCACCATCGTAAACAATATAAACTCATAATGAAACGTTTGCGTTGCAGTCGGAACGGAGTCGGATGTTCCTGGTGTCTGACTCCCTAACGATTTCAAAATGATCAATTTGTCGACGACTCGAGATTAGGACATACATTGTTTCGAGTTAGCTTCGAGGGGAGTTAGCTAAGGATATTTGGAGTATCTTCCGACAGCTGTATGCATATCTTTTATACACTTAAATAGTATATAATGTAAATTAACGTTGAATTTTGCGACCGAAATACAAAATGATCATTGTTAGCAGCTACGTGATTATCAGGTGAGGCCTACCTGTACATCGAAATTTCGAGATTTTATTTTTTTCAATATTAACTAAATAACCTTATCATCATAATTAATAAAATCTAACAGATCCGTATGTATAGTTTCGTTTGCTAGATAGGCTGTGTTAGGCAGAGGCCTCCCATGTATATCTATAGTATAGTAGAAGGCTCGTTTCTTTAGAAAGACTCATCGGATTCGCTATGACGGCACCATGGTTTGTTTATTCATCAGCACGCTACCACATCCAGCGCCCGCTGAACCCATCGCCCAACTCATTAGCCAACAAAAGCAACCAGGACAATGAAAAACTGCCTAGCAACTACCCCACGAAATTCTCCGCAACAAGGCGATGCATGGGCAGTAACAAAGAAAACATACGTTACCTAAACGCTGCAACCTTCGGCATTATCATCACCATACAGAATAAACAAACATACACATATATGACCTCTCTATGAACCTTTAGCGCCACATAAACAGATTATATAAGCCCAGGACATGAGGAGCATATGCACCGCGTCTAATATACGAAGACCCGGGACACGAATATCATATACGATGTAGGATATTTTAAACGTTTTGTTTACGTGTCTAGCTGGCTTCTTCAATATTCTGCCTGAAGCCCAGCCTTTAAACTGTTCAGCAAAATTGTCACTTAGATTTAGCCCTTGATGGTAAACAGGAAAATTTCGTATGCACCAACGAACGACAGGTGTCGTAAGGGGAAGTACGTAATGTAGTTCTACCAGTAAAAGATTTTAAACATATTCTATTTACTTAAAAGGATGGCGTCTAATGCTGACCTACCTGACATTGAAACCTAAGTAATCGATCGAATCGTCTGGAAGCTAGATCGGCGCAACGAAATAGTTCATTTGTATCTAGGCGTACGCACCTGTCAATTAATCGGCTACAAAATGGTAGTAAAGTAGCATAATACCATATAACATGGAAAATAACTTCACACAAAAAAATCCTCAATACATTTACCTTGATTACAAACACTTGTGGTTTAATCCAACGTCTTTAAATACAGCTCCTCTCTTTCTCCATGGCAGTTACTCGCTAGACACAGTTTTGACCAACTTTTCGTATTAATATGGCCCTATCACTGAAATGGCGGCAGGATACTTCACTTAAGTTTGCTTGCCGTCCGTGGATTGTCGCAGGCCGATGATCCCCACGCTATGCACGAAAGGGGGTTTACCTTCCTGCTGCGACTTGTGGCTGTTCTTCCTTCGGCGAAGTTTTCTTTACTGCTAGGAGAAGATCTTAGGCTGTTTTGTGTTCTAAATTATTGAAAAATATCTGTAAGACATGGGGTTTTAGCATGGGTGATCAACTCGTTTAGGTAGCTATTAACTTAACCGCGTTATTGAAGAATAATTTCGGTAAACGGTTGATTTGAAGGCGAAGTGGCTATGAAATGCCTGTCGGATAGTGTGAGGTGGCTTCGTTCGACTTCTTTCTAAGGGAGTATTACAATTCACGGATGGTAGGTAAACTTAAAAAAAAATATTCATATCTGCATTTCGTCAATGTGGTCATATACATGCAAAAAAAAGGCCAAAGACTGGATGAAGCGAATAATTGCTATAAAGGAAAACCAAAAGAGCTCACTTTATTGATGCTGTAAAAAAGTAAAATCTTCAAAGTATAGAGTTTGTAATAAAGAAGAACTTATGTGAATACATTCATTGGTATTTTGTTGGCGTCATTTTCGAGTTGCTCCCCCAGCGGATCATCGTCCTTGTAAAGATATGGCACACATAGCTATAGAGTTAGTGGGAAGGGGGTAACAAGTACACATCTTAGCAAACACATTCAAAATGATTGCAGCTACAAGAATCGACCCTTTTTCCTGGTTTTCACCTGCTTACCTACGCGCAAAGATACTCAAAACATTTCCTACAATCGGTCTTATCATCAGCTTAGACATCGATTAAAAAGATCGAGCACAAGCAAAATCTAAAGACTCCAACCTGAATTTTCATTTTTCTGAGGGGGGAAGCGGGAAGGGGGGTCATCCGTACAATTATAGCCATACACCCCGCGATCATAATGTTCCTCGGCATTCTCTGAACAGGTTGTCAAAATCGGTACTAGCCGCAAGGCAATGCTTAAATGTTTAGTATAGCTAACGCTTACCTTTTTCCAACGGAACAGCCCCCGCTGGTTCGAAATAGACAACCCTTTAGCAGTCGCAGAGTAACGAGCTGTTTACAAACTACCACTACAACCTCTACTGGTTCGGATATAGGCAAGATTTTATCCGAGAAATTACTCAGCTCTGGAAACTGTTTTCTGAAGTCCAATAATCATGTTAACCAAACTATAGTTAGCATGATACATTAAAATCAACAATAGCCTAGCGCACTGTGACGTTCATGACAAAAATATAGTAACGCGCACGTTCTTACGGCTTTGAGTACGATTCGTTGCTTTACGTGCTCATGCAGTCGTCACTATTGTTATTGCTGCAGTTACTACCGTTACGGTAATTCTAAAATGAAGATGGTCGTTGCCCTGTGACCTCGGCGCAGTAGGGGCCGGAAAAATGGATGAACTAGGTGAGGATAGACAGAAAGCAGCAGCAGCAGCAGCGGATGCATTTCGAAAAAAGAAAAAGCCAAAAAACCTGGCCGGTAATAATAGAAGAACAAGAGTATAAGGGTCTGGCCATGTAGTAACCATAGAGCTATTTATAGAACAGTATGCACTGGCGTACCTCACCGTTAAATTGCCATAGCAGTTCTTATAATGCAACTATAGGTATTGCACAAACTGTAGATTCTCGTACTAGCCATACTTTTCCAAATAACTAATAATTTCCTAAGGCGAACCTTGCCTATGTTCCAACATAAAACAACACATCGTTAGAATAACATGTTTCATTGTCATACTAATTAGTAGAAAAAAGCGCCGACCCATCCCGGACAGGGTTCCTTAGGCAAGAAGCGACACGTGGATAGACAGGTTGGCGAAACAGATAAATACATCTTAAATAAGCTATCTATATATAGAACTTCTTATCTGCCGGTGTATACGAAAGAGCTACAAATCGTACATTGGCGTACAAATATACGTACGCCGCAACAAGCCGAATGAAAGATATCTTCGGCTAAAATTAGCTTGTCTACAAAAATCCATTAAGAACCAAGCAGTACTGAATGACTGTTGAAAAGGCCATTGTCCACTGACAGGTATGGCTGCTCCTTGTTGGTTTTTACTTTTCCCACAATTGAACAACTCCCTTATTTCTGATTGCTGTGTACTTCATTACTCAACGAAAATTACTAGCAGGCCGCCACGATGACTATTGATAACGAACCGTCGAGTTCCGCGTGTCAGCCTTCTGCTGTAAAGATAAGTCTGGCTGCTGTAGATATGTCATCCGTTTGCGGACATTCGTATGTATAAACACCACGATATACCAGTCCAGATTAACGCTTTGGACTTGAAAATTTCCTGTAGATTCTGTTCCAGCCATGTGTGATTTTAAAGCAAAAACACTGTCAGCAGCTGCAGATAGATTTTGATAAATTAATACATTGTACTACTTGGGAAAACGTGTCGTATCGTAGTTTCATCATGCACATTCTGAGGAAACTGAACGTACATGAAACAGTACGTCTCTGACGTCTCTACACAGCTAAGTTAAGCAAACTTACTTGAAATAGTCGACAATTCACGCTGCTATACAACCAGAGCAATAACAGCATCGGCACAATCATTAGTGACTGGCATTAAAGTGCAGACAGGAGATCGACTACTGATAAGTCTGAATCTGGGAGAACGATTGCTTTTATAAAAGACAGAATTATCTGTGAGCAAAAGGCAACGGTTTGACATCATTATTTGTTGTCTTGACTGACACTCACCGTGCGGACACGGAATACTGTTAGATACGAATCCCACTTCAATGCCGCGGTATAAAATACTGCCCCCCTTTTATTGACAGTCGAAAACGCGCCGCAGCTGTCGCGAGATTAGTGAGATTTTGACGTTAAAGCAGAACTTGCCACATATGTGTTTACGTTTTACAAAACGTACTGTAGGTTCCCAGTAAGTTGAAAGCGAACTAGTCATATGTCCTTGGTTCGGACGCACGGGAAGAAGCTCCTATCTTGAACCTATCTTCTTTAGATGCTTCTTGTCAACCAAATGGAATACAAATGGCTAGACGTCTGCTTCAATCAACAAACAACATTAGAAATAGTCCGAAGTTGTTCGACAAAACTAAGGGCAAAAAATACTATTGTGCTTTTGGCGCCTATTTCAAATTATGAAACTTGCTTGTTTTACCGATGACATTCGACCTAGTCCAGTGTAAGATATATATAAGAACCGCGTGCAGAAAAAAATGTCTATCAAATAGCGCAAACCTATAAACGGTACCGCGAATAGAGGCTTCGAACTTGTCGAATTGATCATTGGATTTTAAAGTAATGGGTACATTTTGTAATATTTGGGGCCGTTAGAGAACAATACAGCCAACAGAAAGTTGCAATAGGAACTCATAGGGAACAAATATTAACATGTCCCGCAGAACAATTAGGAAACAGTACCGCCGGTGCGAACAGCCGTAGATATAGCTCACGTTGTTCGCTGCTTTGGATTTTCTTTTTTTTTCGAGAATCTTTTTCTCAATATTTTTCAATCGTTTTTGCTTGATTTTTCCTATAGTGTGTTTACTGATTACTCTTTGCCAGCAAATCTGAGTGCTCGGACAAGCATGCTGCTTCTATCCGTTAGCATAATCTGCATACACATTGTCGTTTGGTATTGATTTTTGCCGTTTCAGCTTTCCGCCTGTGCCTCCCATCTCTTTCTACTTCTCCCCCTTTCAGCATTGCAAGATGCTCTCAACACGACCGGGACACGTAACTCTTGGCTGTGACTACAATAACCGCGCGTCTTTCCGTGTAGAGGCCTAAAAAAAAGAAAGATAAGTTGCGTCAATCCTCATTTCGTATAAATTCTGCCGCTGTGAAACGGTGGAATCGGAGCTATAGTGAGCCAGCCGCTAACCACGCCGATCCGGCTGGCGTCGCACTAAATGTAACGATGCCAGCCAGCTAGCAGCAGAAATCCTCCATTGGATGTAAGTGATCATAAGCAGGAGTGACAATAGTACGACGTCAGCATCGTTGTCACCACAAAGCTGAACTGCAACAAAATTGGCGGCGGCCGAAACGGCGCGACAAAGCCAATAGAGAGATCTTCGACGAGGCCGACAGCGACAGCCACAGTCGTATAGACAATAATAACAATCGTTTAGTCGCCGGCCGTGGTCGTGATGGTAACGGCGATGCGTCTTCGAACGCTCAACTTAGCTTAGTTGAGCCCGGGACATTTTCGAAATGTTGTCACCTGTCCAGCCTTTTTCGAGCGGCCTTCTTTATTCTGCTGCCGCTGCTCCTGCCGCCGTCGAAGCAATCGGCCGCTATTTTTTAAATCGCATTTCTTTCTGCTCGTACTGTCTGATCTGACTTTGCCGTATTCCGTGCAATTGGCTGCAACAAGATCTTCACACCTGCCGTCATCTTCAGCAAACTGCGCAAGCAACCTCATAGGAGGACGAAACAATAGGCGCCTCTGCTCGCTCCATGTCGTTTTCGTCTGACGCCTGCCTCGCTGATGAGCCTTCGTATTCATTGGACGATATGTACGTATACGTATGTATGCACAGTCTCCATCTACCCGCAGCTACACAATCGATTTGCCACTTGCTAAATAGTCCGCCAATCCGTCGCTCGTCTGCCGCCGCTGAACGTGATAGTTACGCCATTTCACCCAACATTATCACTGGCAATTGTCACTTGGATAGCAAAGAAAGCGTATCGGCTTCTACCTCGGCAGCAGGCGCCAGCATCACCCCCAGCTCGCTTGCCTTTTGGCTCCTCGTTTGGCCTATACTCCATAAGCTAGCCATTTAGTCTTTGACAAATGTTTGCCAATAAAGAAGTGACCAGCAGACGCTAATCTAGAAGGTGTACAGACACATAGCAACGACGTCAAAAACACGAGAAAGCAACCCTCCAGAGGGACGAACAGCGTTCGGCGACGCATTTCAACGTCAGGATTCATTAGCAGGCATTTGGAAAGTGGTCCTACTAGTGCTATTTGGTCTGGTCGTTGCCTTGATGAAAAGTCATGTCGCTCATGAGAGCCGTGTATAATTACGAAATGCTGGATCACAATAGGTTTTTTGCAACCTCGCGTTGACACTGCTGCTGCCTCTCGCCGCTGAAAATAGCAACTTAGCGGTGCAACAACCCGAAAGAAACATATAGGACGAGCCAAATTCAGTTCTGCAATTTATATTGGTGTACGCGTGTAGGTAAGGAGCTGCATGCACGTAAATAGAACGGAAAAAGCGCGTAAAACAAACCGTTATAGCCCCACGGCTCTTACAGGATCAGAGGAAAGATGCGAAAAAAAAAAATAGCGGGAGCACCACATTTGGGAAAAATAATTTTTTCTAGGCGTAGGATGATTGCATGTTATTTTTAGACCTTAAAAATGCTTTGATGCTGTTAGCCGTTGGCAAGCTTATGCAGCTGCCGTAACAACGCTGTTTTACGAAAACAATCTTTCAAAAAAAGGCGCCCAATCATCAAACGGAGTGCCCCCCTTTTTCCCAGCTAAAATGCCAGTAATTATTTATAAAAATATTATATAGTGTTATAGAACTAATTTTTTCTGGCTGTTACAGGGCGACGTTTCGTTGACTTTCAATTCAATAGTTTTCACACGAAAGAGAAGTGCGGCGAGCGCTCGATGCGCCTAATCAGTCATAATAGCCATACCGAACGTAGTCTTTATTTAAATATCGGGATGGCTCTTCTGATTTGACAAGCACCATTAGTTTGCCAATCATAAATCATTGCCAAATTAACTATTACCAGCCGGGCTAGTCGTAAGTTGGAAAGACTAGTAGCGGAGGATGCAATGCAGGCCGAACAAACGGTGCTGCATTCAGTATTCAGCAAAATCACTAAAAGCTATTTGAGCAAAGCCATGTCTTGCCCTTCCGAGGATACTGGGCTTCGATCCTCATGTGTCCCCAGAAGTAATATATCAACAACAAAAAGGCACATAGTTCAGCTTCAGGCCAGTAATCGAACGGCCCTTTGAAGGCTTTAAATCAAATGTATTTCCGTGCTGCGCCATTAGTGAAGTTCAGCGTCATTCTATCAACAGGGAACATTATTTACTTGAAACTAAAACGAAGTCTCGTTTGTACGTATCACGCCAATACACTGATCGAAGGCGGCTCTTACATTTGTCATAACGACACCACAGCATACGTTACGAACCGTTGATATCTCTATAAAGAAAAAAAAACAAATATTGTAAAAAAAAAAAAAGCGGATTCCACCTAAATAGCCTAACAAGATTTTGACGTTCATGCGTTTACATGCCCGCCCAATCACCACTAAAAAATAAAAGTTCCTCTGAACGCCCTTTATGATTGCATGATCCGCCTTTTTATTTCAATCCATAAAATATAGCTATTTCGACCTAAAGGTTTTTTTTTACCGAACATAGTTTCTCTTGCTGTTTAGTAACGGATGAGTATATGCCTCGGCAGATATGGTGACCACTTATCTATGGACGATTACGTCATAGTCCGCCGAATAGGATCCGACTATTGAAAAATAAAAAACAATAAAAACATACATATGTACAAGTTATGGATAAGTTTACTCCTAGAAGGCACTATAGTTAGTAAGGCTGGATTGTCAGGACGAGTTGGCTGAAATAAGCTCGTGAGCAGAAATGCACGATACTCCGAGAAGCTCTTCCTTTCAACAGAAATAATGCACCGTCTCAGCTCGTAAGAAATACGTTTAACAAAAAACAAATATAGAAACGTTTGAAGAACGCATAATTGTCTAGATCAGCCATAATCATTGGCTTTTACCTAACCAACAAGGCATTAGTCGGCCTATCTGGATAGTGTCTGTCAGCGCCTTTGTACTTGCCCAGCCAGCGAAAAAAGAAGCCCAAATCACAGCAAAGCGGTCCGATGTGATACAAACGTCTCATTGTACAACAGAGTAGTCATATTTAGCTGACGTTGGTTAGCAAGACGATACCTGGCAATGGCTACGACGATCATCACACTGTAAAGGCATTTCATGTTAACACTACCAACGACACATGTTTTTCCAACCACCAAATGGGGAGCACACCGGCAATTAGTTAGAACGACAAAGCCGAGAAACGATGAGGATGTACGACCCACCTAGATCCCCAAAACAGCTAAAGTGAAAAAGGCGACAATTGTCACCATGCGAGAACTCTATAGATGACGACGATAGCCATTACGATATCATCGAACGCCAACCGGTTTCGAAATTCGTCCAGTGGAAATGTCACTCCACAGATCGTTGCCCATGCACAGGGTGATGATGGCTTAGGCAACAGGAACGGCACGAGTTGGTCCGTCATTGGCGTCGTAATCGGTCGCGTGCAGTAATTACTTTGTCTTTGTACGTTTAGCTGTATCATAGACGCAATTCGTACAAACGAGCACAGTCCTTCGCAGTGGACGGGCGAGTTTGAGCAAGCGAGCGATTACGTTACTGGCGGATATATGCAGATTATAGTCTTAACGGGAAAGTCGTTCATAGACACACCGAACCCAGTAACCAACACGAGTGGTGCTTTAGGCGGACGCGACCCGAAAGTTTTGAGAACAGATTTGATCAACGATGGCACTACGGTGACGTAATGTCGCGTCTGGCTCATTTGGATTCCTCTACGAACGAGCAGTAAACACGCAGTGAAAATGGCGCTGTTCGAAGTGAGCAGCACGTTTTATGGGGCGCACATCAATCTGACGGGGTAGCAAGTGAGCCCCTGCTGCATTTAGATGAGAGAGCATTTATATACAGAGCCCAATAATTCAGGGTTTCACTTAGATGGTGCCTCCTATATATGTTTTGGACAATTACGCGACGTATAGCTTTGTCTGCCCTGAAACATTTTCAAAGGGGGCTTGTAAGGGGCGTCTTCAGTTGTAATTGACTGGTTGAAATAATGACAAGAATAAAGGTTTTGTGACGATCCGTAGAAGTGAAATATACTTGCGTTTTTTGATACGGGAAAATTAACGCTGTGTTAATCATACACTACCTTGGAAATAAAGCAGTTCTGCTTTACTACTGGGGAACACATGCCGGTCATATGCACGTGCGTGCGTAAGTATTCGCGTCAAATCAGGGACACGCGCACGTGGGATTCGCTTCTTCAAATGCTGTGTATACGAATGAGCAAGTTTACGGTTAGCAGTTGTCATTCGTTGAAAAATAACAGTCTATTTTTCATATTCTTTCTTTGGGATTGAAAAGCAGATAAATAAAGTGCTGTTCTTGCACCCTACGATTTTGCAGAATAGATAGATCTTTGTCTCGTTTACGTGTGCATCACATATCAGATGTAAAGTAGTTGCTTATTCGGCCGGCAAAATGGGGTGTCATTACGGCAGTTGAAACTATCAGATATATACGCGGCGTCCCCACAAACGAATATGTCGGTAAAATGATGACTTTAGTTGAAGCGCTGCCATGCTAATAAGGGATCAAATGTATCCATCT